CTCTGAGTGTCCAAAGCCAGGCTCCAGACTCGATGACGTTTGCTCGTTGGGAAGCTGTTTGCCCCCCAGGCCCGGAACCCATCTCTGCCTCAGCCCGGGCCCCTCATTTCTCAGAAGGAGATGCTGAGACTTCTTGCGAAAGCGCCGGTTTGATAAGAACTGTACATTCTGAACAAGCCAAGTTGTACACAATTCCTGGGAAGCGCTGCTCCAGGAACTCCTGGAAGTATTGGCGGTTTGCTAGCTTTCTTACCTGGTTGAATTCTCCAGATGGAGGCTAGACCCTGCGTACCCACCCTGTCCTTGCTTGTCACAGGGCATCAGCCTGCAAATTGCCCCACCCTCTTTTTTTCTTTTTCCCTTTATTGATTCTAGAGAGATAGGGAGAGGAAGAAAGAAATAGAAACATTCATGAGAGACAATATCGACCGCAGCCTCTTGGATGACCCCCACTGGGGATCTGGCCCCACAGCCTGGGCATGTGCCCTGACCGGGAACCTAACCAGTGACCTCTTGGTGCATCAGTGGATGCCCAACCACTGAGCCACACCGACTGGGCACCCCACCCTCTTTCTTAACTGCCTCACCTTTGAGTCACTTTGCAGACATAAAAATAGCTGATGTTTATTAAGCTCTTGCTATGTACTTGCTTTCATGTATTATCTCATTTAATCATTATATCAAGCCTATAACGTTATCCCCAATTTTATGTATTATTTGACATACAGTGCCTACTACGTTCTCAGCACTTTACTATCAACTCCTTTAATACTCTGATCAACTTTAGAAAATAAATGCGATTATTACTCATAAGGCCACAGAGGTGAAGATTGCAGAGCTAATCGTATAGGTTTAGGGATTTCAAGTCAGGTCAGATTCTAGAGCCTGCACCACCAAACTGGACAACCTCTGATGTGTATCCTCTAATTGAACATGAGAGTCAGGGGGCTCCCCTTCCTCTCTGAGCTCCAGTTTCAACTACTGCCATTGGTAAATATTCAGTTGCCACCACCATCGATGAATGTTAGGAGAAAGGCAGATGCCCCCCATTTTACCATGGGGACAGTTATAGATGAAAACTTAGCCAGAACAACCTTTCACCATTTTTAATTGTCCTGCTTTTCCCAAAGGTATGCCATCTATGAAACTTAACACCAGAGCAACACCTTTGAGAGCCACCCAGATATGGCACCCAATATTGTAAAAACAGAATGGAGCCATTACCCTGACACAGGAGTAAATATTTACTGAGGATCTACTATATATATGCCAGTTACAATCCTAGATTGTCAATCCTTTAAACAACACTATGAAGTAAGAATTATTATTCCCCGTTGACAGGTAAGGAAGCTGAGACTCACATATACACAGCTAGTGAGAGCAAAGGTTTTAACTCAAGACTGTCCCAATTCCACAAAATCCATGTTTCATTTGCCACTTTGCTCTATTGGAAATCTGTACAAATGGCAGTGGGAGCCTTGAGGAAGTAAAGATTAAGGAGAGTTTTTACAAAGTTCAGGAAGCCATTACATGTCCCTCCCGCAAGAAGTCAATTTTCAGTCCTCTGAAATCCCCTAGCACTTTTCCTAGACGACTCTACTTTTTACCTTATGTTCAGATCCCGCTGCCCACTGGATTTTTTTTCCTCCTTGAAGGATCTAACTTCCCATTGTGACCACACGCTCATCCCTGTAGATGAGTAGGTACTCAATAAACATTTTTTCTAATCCTCACCCAAGGTTAATTTTCCATTTATCTTCAGATAGAGTGGGAGGGAGGGAGAGAGAGAGAAACATCAATGTGAGAGAGACACATTGACTGGTTGCCTCCCCCACCACCTCAACCAAGGCCGGGACTGAACCACAACCCAGGTATGTGCCCTTGACTGGAATCAAACCTGCAACTCTTTGGTCCATTGGCTGACGCTCTAACCACTGAATCACACCAGCCAGGGCTCAATAAACATTTAAAAAAATAAATGTCAGCCCTGGCCAGTTTGGCTCAGCGGTTACAGCATCGGCCCATGGACCAGAGAGTCCTGGGTTCAGTTTCTGCTAAGGGCACGTACCTTGGTTGCAGTTTGTCCCTGGCCCTGCTTGGGGTCGTGTGGGTGGCAGCCAGCTGAAGTGTCTCTCTCATATCGATGTTTCTCTCTCCCCTCCCCCTCCCATTCTATCTGAAGATAAATGCAAAAATGTCCTCGGGTGAGGATAAAAAAATAAAAATAAAAAGATAAATAAAATAAATGTCACCTGGCCAGTATGGCTTAGTGGATTGAATATCATCTCATGGACTAAGAGGTCCCCGTTCGATTCCTAGTCAGGGCACATGCCCACAGTAGGGGGTGTGCAGAAGGCAGTCGGTCAGTGTTTTTCTCTCACATTGATGTTTCTATCTCTCTCTCTAAAAAATAAATAAAAACATATTTTAAAAAATAAAAGTCAATTTGTCAATACACAATGTCAAACATCCCTCCTTTGCCTCCTTCCCAGGATTTTTCCAGAAGATAGGCATTACCTTTGGAAGGTACATAATGTCTTTCCACTGTTGAGGGGGCCCCAAAGGCCCACCAAGTTTCAAGGAGGGCAGACAGAGATTCTTTCTCTTGACGGGGGAGTGGCAAGGTTCTGGAAAGGCATGGAGGAGTGAAAATAGTATTTTGGCCATTTGCGGAAAATACAATTTGCCACAAGTGTACTTGTGTGGTATATCACTTAGAATATATTCAGTTACAAGCAATTGAAAAAAACAACAAGCATCTAAATGGTGACTTAAGGCATCATGGCATTTGCTGTTTATTAATTCTAGGTTGATTCAGTGGCTCAACAATGTCAATTTTGTGCTACTCAGCATGTTGGCTTTTCATATTTGTGCATTTATTGCTTACAAAATGGCTACCACACCTCCAGGTATCATATCCTTAACCCAACACTACCCAAAGCAGAAAGAAACAAACAAACAAAAAAAGATATTTCAAAGTCCTGTACCTCTCTCTTTTTTCAGGGAAGAAAAACTTTCCCATGAGCACCCAGCAGACATCATCTTACCTCATTGGTCAGATGAGATCACATTCTTATCCCTTAACCAATCTCGGGCAAAAGAGAATGAGATTATTGTTGTTGGTAATGGCAACCCCTGGAATGAATATATCTGCTAAAAAGGGATCCTGGTGGCTAATTGGGCTCAAATTTATAAACAGAGCCTAGCAGCTAGTGCTAATCAGGGTTCCCTCAAACATGCCATGCTCCAAGGAAAAGTGACACTGAACTGCCTGCCTACTGTACTATGCTCCTGCCAGCTGAGCTGACCCTTATAAAAGAATTCCTGGATTCAAAATTCTACCAATAGGACTGAGATTTTCCATATCCAACGAGCTGCAAGGCTATATCCTCATTTGCATCTTCATCGACCCATCAGAGTGGCTCCATATTTCACTAACTAGGATGGTGCTATTTGGACCAACCATACCGTGAGGATTTGAAGTCCTTATTTGCATAGAAATGGGCCAATGAGTGGCTGGGGAGGATGGGTGGGCACTCTTGTCTATAAAGGTCTGCTTCCCCTCAGTCTCTGGGGCTTTACTTTTGGTTTCCACTGGAGGCTGCATTTCCTTGGCTAGAGCACTAACACCAGAGATGCCTCATTCCTAGCCCACCTCACCACTGAGCTCTTTTCACTGAACAAAGTTTCCCCCTTTCTGGTGCCCCAAATAGGGGATTCTTGTTGGTATTAATTGGCAGTGGTGACCTTTGGTTGACAGTTTAGAGAAATCTTGAATCATTTCCTGGGCCAGGAGAATCTTAGGCAATATTTAGACTCTGGAAGCAAAGATGGATGCTGTTGAGTAGATAGACAGACAGTGGTGTGTGTCTCATCTGGTTTCCCCACCATATTTAGTGTTCATTCTTTCTTCTTATATGGGGCCTGTGCCGGGCTGAGAGGATTCAGATGGAACAGCCATCCAACCCTCAGAAAGTGGGTTAAGAGTTTACACAAGTAATTATAACGATTCCTGAGGGCAGAGACCAGGTCTTTTCAACAAACTTTGTAAATGCATGTTGGGTACCAGGTCCTATTAGGTCTTGGAGAGACAAAAGTAAAGAAGACCTACATCCTGCTTTTAAAGACCTCCAAGTCTTTGAGAAAAACTGTAAACTGACAATCACAGAGAGATAAGTACTAAATTATGGATAAACCCCAGGAGGAATGGGAGCAGAGGAGGGACATAGTGGAAGAGAAGAGAATTCAGGAAAGGCTTTCAGAGGAGATATTTGAGTTGTTTATAGGTTGAGCCAGGCTCAGGCAAGAGAAAAAGTGTTAGGGGGAAAAAAGTTCCAGGAGAGGAGAGCATAAGCAAAAGTTAGGAAGCAGGAGAAACAGCGTAATGTATGCAAGTAGCAACAAGCAGTTAAAAAAACATGGAGTATTAAGTGGGACATCAAGTCAGATGAGGCTGAAGATAAGCTGGTTTTCCTCAGGGAAAGATCTTTATCAATGTAGCAGTGCATTCATTTATTAAATCAGTGTCTCCAAAGCACTAGGTGCCAGTTAGTTTCTAGCCTCAGGGACTGTGCTCTTGCTACCCCTCTGCCTAAATCTTCTCAGGTCTCAGCTCAGTCATTAGTCCCTGAGATGCCTTCCCCATCTCCCTTAGCGCAAATAGTTTCCACGTGGTCCCTTTCTAGTGCATCAGCATTCTGTTTTCCTTACAGCACAAATAACATGAGATTATCCTCTCCATTTGCTCCTGGGTTAATTGCCTGTCAGGTCCCACTAGAATGTAAGCGCCACGCGAGGGGGACCTGGTCTTTCCCACTGTTTCATCTCATCCATTGCGTCCTGGTAACTCAAGCCCAACGCAGCTCCAGGGAGATCGCGCGTCTCGCAAACGTAAGCTCCGAACTGAGCATGCGCCCCGCGCCGAGAGCCGAGCACCACGGACCACCGCTCCGCGCAGGCCACACCTCCGCCCGCTCCGTCCCGCCCCTTCCCGGCCAGGTTAGCCGTCCGACCCAGGACTCGCAGCCGGTGCTTTCCCCGGACGCTGTTCCGCAAGACTCGGCGGCGGGAACGGAGGCGGCCGCCATTTGCCGGCGGGACCCCGGGATGGCCCCCAAACTCTCAGAGTCCGTGGAGCGGCTCCGCGCCGCCGGCAACCAGAGCTTCCGCAACGGCCAGTTCGCGGAGGCCGCCGCGCTCTACAGCCGCGCGCTGCGGGTGATGCAGGAGCAAGGTACCACCCCGGCCGCCCGTTCTCTCCGCACGGCTCCCCTCTCCCGTCTCCCCGGCCCCGACGACCCCGCCCTCGCTCCATCCCTGCCTCCTTCCCTTTCCCTGCAGCCCACCGTCCCACCAGGCCCTCCCGCCACCCTTCCCGCACATGCCCCTTTTTGGGCTTCCTACCAGAAACTTCCTTAGCCCTTTCTTTACGTCTGGAAAAAAAAAAAAATTGTAATATGGTTTTATTACTCGTTCTTTTTCACTTAATGAGATATCAGAAATATATTTTCATCTTAATAGATTTTTTTTATCACTTTTTGATTGTGGTAAAAAACAACAACACTACATTAAATTTACCATCGTAACATTTTTTTTAAGTGTAGTGTCAGGTGTATACTATTAACATTGTTGTGCAACAGACCTCTAGAACTTTTCATCTTGCAGCACTGGAACTCAGTACCCGCTAAACACTATTTCCCCCATCCCTTCAGCCTTTGGTATCCACTTTTTACTTACTATATCTATGATTTTGATTACTTTAGGTGTTCGAAATGAGTGAGATCATACCGTGTTTGTCTTTTATGACTGGCTTACTTCCCGTAGTATAGTCCTCGAGGACATTATAATCCATACTGTAGCATGTGAGAGGATCTCCTTTTTCCCAAGACTGTATAGTATTCCACTGTGTGGATATACTACTTTTTAAATCCATTTAGCCATTGATGGACATTTGGATTGCTTCCACCTCTTAGCTATTGTGACTAATGCTGTGATGATCGCGGGTGTGCAGATGTCTCCAAGATCCTGCTTTGAATTATTTTGGATATATACCCAGAAGTGGGATTGCTGGATCAAATAGATATTGTTTTCTTGTTTTAAATTTTTTTTTCTTTATTGATTTTAGAGAAAGAGGAAGGGAGAGGGAGAGAGAAATAGAACTATCGATGAGAGAGCATCAATTGACCGCCTCCTGCATACTCCCCTCCCCCAAGATTTGGCCCACAACCTGGGCATGTGCCCTGACTGGGAATTGAACCAGCGACTCCTGGCACATGGGTTGATGCTCAACTACTGAGCCACATCTGCTGGGCTCTTTTTAAAAAATTTTTTAAAAATATTTTTTCATTATTGATTTGAGAGAGAGAGAAACATCAATGAGAGAGAACTTCAATTGACCACCTCCTGCATGCCCCCAACTGGGGATTAGGCCCACAACCTGGGCATGTGCCCTGACTGGGAATTGAACCGGTGACCTCTTGGTGTATGGGTCAGCACTCAACCAGTGAGCTACGCCAGCTGGGCAGTAGTTCAGTTTTCCATGGTTGCTGCACCATTTACATTCCCGCCAACAGTGCACAATAGTTCCAACTTCTCAGCATCCTTACCAGCATTTTGTTCTTTTGATAGTGGCCATCCTGATAGGTGTGAGCTGCATGCTTTTTAACTGTCCTGTTGCCCCCATCCTATTATTCGGGCCTCATTCCAACCCTCCTCCTCAACCATTCGCTCTTCGATTAAATTAGTATTTGTTGAGCATCTGTATCTACTGAGTGTATAACAAGACAGGGAAGGTTCTTTCAATGAGAGAAAAGGGGGAGAGGCTAGATCTTAAGCTAGTAAACAAGATGTGTTTGGTAATGATCAGGGGTATGCAGAAGACAAATGTGTGATAGAGAGTTGACTAGGGAGCTCCATTAGAATGAGGGCAACTACTTTGAAGAGATGACATTTGAGGTGATATCTGAATGATCAGAAGATGCCAGGTGCACAAAGTTTTGGATGCTGAGCATTTCAGGTGGAGGGAACTGTAATTACAGGCATACATTGGTTTATTGTGCTTCTGTTTATTGCGCTTTGTGTCTTTTATACAAAAGGGAGACAAGATACTCCACCAGCAAAAAGATGACTACTTGCTTTATTGTGGTGGTCTAGAACCATACCCACAATATCTCTGAGGTATGCCTGTACAAAGGTACCCGGATGGAATAAGTTTGGATGCCCCAGGAGCCATTGTGACTGAGCCAGTGGAGGGAGAAGTAAGACAGGGTCAGACAGACAGGCAGAACTTTGTTGTAGAGACATTTTACACAGTACACTGTAGTAATGAGTTTAGGTTTTATTCCCTGATGGGAAGTTTCTGGAGAGGAGTAGCATATTCTTATCAGTTCTCCCAGCCTCCAGCTCATTTCAAGCAACCACAGCCCTTTGCCCAAAACCTCTTCTCCAAAGTGCCCTACCAAGGAGCCCTCATTGGAATCTCTTTTCTGTAGTACCTGTTTCCCTTTGCCTTCCTTCTCCTCATTTTTTTTGGCTAGCATTTATTGAGTGCTTTACTGTGTGCTAGACATTACAGACATTATGCCTTTATATCTTTATGCTAACCTTTGACTAAGACACTTTATATTCTTCCTTGGTGCTGCCTATGGAGGCGGCAGCCATCTTTTACTCAGCACATGGCTGCCCTCAGATCCCTCGTGAAATCCAAGATTGTCAAAAAGTGGACCAAGAAATTCATCCTGCACCAGTCAGACTATGTCAACATTAAGTGGAACTGGTGGAAATCCAAAGGCATTGACAATAGGGTGCACAGAACATCAGGGCCAGATCTTGATGCCCAACATGGGTTATGGAAGCAACAAGAAAACAAAACCCATGCTGCCCAGTGGTTTTCAAAAGGAAGTTCCTGTCCACAGTGTCAAGGAGCTTGAAATGCTGCTCATGTGCAACAAATCTTACTGTGCTCAGATCACTCAGTGTCTCCTGAAAGAACTGCAAAGCCACTGTGGAAAGAGCAGCCCAGATGGCTATCAGAGTCACCAACCCCAATGCCAAGCTGCACAGCAAAGAAAATGAATAGACAGATTGTGTACACATTGTATTTGTGTTAATAAAGCCATAAAATTCTGCCATCTGGCCAAAAAAAAAAAAAAAAAAAGCTTTGTAGATGAGGAGTCCAGAAGAGTTAAATTGCCTACCCCAGGGTTATACAATGAAGACATGTCATAGGCAGGATTTGAATATGGGTCTGATTCCCAAGTCCAAGTTTTTAGTCATTTTGCTAGACTTCTCCCCAAATCCTCTCCAAATTGCAGTCTTATTTTGTTTGAGCTTTTTCAGTTTCAAGCCACTCTTGCCCCCTTTTTTCCTGCAACACTCCTTTTTAGGTCTGCCTGCTTGTCTCAGCCTCACTTGAGGTTGCTGAAGAATCTAAGATATTGATACTTCTGCCTTTTTCTTTCATCCTACCCCAGCCTGCCTGGAAAAGCATGTGCTTTCGTATGGAGTTTTTCTGGGTCCCCAAAAGAGCTGGCCTGGTATCCAGATTTAGTAGGGGATCAGAGTTTGGTTCTCATTCTTTTCTAGATAATATATGGGCAAATCCCTTGATTTCTCTGATCAGTTTTTCTGTTTGAACGGAGAGTAGGGAGCAACCTAGCACAATGAACCCTTCTTTGAAGTGATATCTTCATGTGATAGGTGAGCACATATGATCAGAGAGAGTGAATGATTTGTGCAGCATCACAGGCTGGATAGTAGGTTCTGATGTCCTTTCCACCATACTGCTGCTTCTGAGCACCCATGCTCTGGGGACTTGAGAAGGATTACAAGTTTTGAGTGCTTGTACTTGTCCCTTAAGGGCGAGGGTGTGTGTATATGTATATGTGTGTGTGTGTGTGTGTGTGTGTGTGTGTGTGTGTGTATATATTTTTTTATTACAGATGTTTCTCCTTTTCCCCCCACTGATTCCCACCTCTCCCTCCCTCCCCGGGCGAGGATATATTTTACTTATCTCTACATTACTGTCTCAGGGCCTGGCAAAATAAGAAAAGATTTATTCTTTTTTTTAAATGTTTTTATTGATTTTTTTAGAAAGAGGAAGAGAGAGAGAGAGAGAGAAACATCAATTGGCTGCCTCCTGTACACCCCCACCAGGGATCGAGCCTGCAACCTGGGCATGTGCCCTGACTGGGAATCGAACTGGAACTTCTCAGTCCAGGGGAAGACGCCCAGTCAACTGAGCCACACCGGCCGGATGAAAAAATTTATTCTTTTATTGTTTGTTATTGTTGATATTGAGTGAAAGATATGCATCAATATGGTAACATGATACTTAGTGACAAAAGCATGTTGCAGAAGGATAAACAATTGGGTGCCAGTTAGAGGAAGCTTTAAAAGATATAAAATATCTGATTACATATATAATAAAGATAAACATGCATAAGAATGTTACATACCAGCTTCAGGATTGGGCTAACATCTGGGGTTATGGGAATGGAGTAAGGAGAAAGGATGAGGACGAGTGGAGCTTTAGGCATATCAAAAATAAAAAAGCTTGGAAACAAATATAATGTATGCTAAATCTAGTGATGGATACTGACTATGTTGTACTGTTTTCTGTATGTTTTACAATTTTCAGAAGAGAACTTGGTTTCAGTTACTTTGGGAATATATATCTAGGAGTGAAATTACTGCATCAACTTGAAGTAGTTTTTTTTATTTTTTCACTGTGGCCCATGCTAGTGTGGTATGTGGTAGCTGAAAATTAACTTTTAAAAATGAAAGTCATTGTGGTCACAGTAAAAGACATGAGCTTCTGAGATTCCTGAACATGAGGCCTGCCTTTAGAGAAATGTCTGACAATGCTCCTCCCCACTGGGGAGCTTGAGTTCTTCCCCCGAGTAAGTTCGCTGTAGTCCTGCCAGACCCGCGGGGTTTTTCTCTGGCAAAGTCCTGTCTGATTTGACCAGGTGGAATTAGTCTCTGTCTTATCTTTTCCTCTTTTTTTCATTCTTTAGTTTCCATACTTTTTGTAATAAAATGCACACACACAGCCAGGTAGTTACAGCATGGATTTCTGTGAGGCAGAGGCCAGCTATTTCATGTTTGTCTTTTGCCAGGTACCGAGTTTAGTGCTGGCATGAGTGAATAAGATGCTTGATGTTCTCGCTGCCATGTACTAATGACAAACTTGCCAGTCTGTCGGACCTGCGAGCCTGATCAGCTTGCAGTCATCTCTGCTCCCTTTTACCAAAAGCCCAGAGCTCAGAGTGCGAAATGGACGTCATATCCTGAGGCATCCATTTCCCGACTTGTTAATCTCCTGCTTTCTGCTTCTACCCGGGCAGGTTCTTCGGACCCCAAAGAAGAAAGTGTTCTCTACTCCAACCGAGCAGCATGCCACTTGAAGGATGGGAACTGCAGAGACTGCATCAAAGACTGCACTTTGTAAGAGGTCAAGGGAAACTTTGGGGTGCCTTAGGGGCTCAGAAGAGGAAGCTGGGTTTATCTGGTTTGTTTCTTCTTGGGACTGATCCCACCAGTTACATCTGTGACAGATACTAGGAAGTGTCATTCAGTGTCACCAGGTCACTGAGAATAGGAGGCTATACTTGGTCCTTGTGGCACCTGTCTTGTGTCTTTGGGGTCTTGGCTCTGCTATTGTAAAAGGAGTAGGGGTGGGCACTTACAGGTGGTTTTCAAACCTTTGTGAGATGTGGGGCCTGGGGATGAGGTAGAGTTGTAGAATAGTTAGTGGCTTGCCCAATTATCTTCTGGGGTGGATGAGAGAGAGGAAGGGAGGGAGAGAAAAAAAGAGAGAGAGAGGTTAACAGGTAGCCAGGAAAGAAGCAAAGAGAAAGGAGAAAATGGTCTCCTTTAATGACCAGGTATAGAGGACATTAAACAATTTTTCATATTTCTTTCTTTTTCAAACCAGTCTGATATTGCCTTTTTTCATCATCGCTAAACTAGCATGCATACCTTAAATGTGTTCTAAGATCTGCTATCCTGTGACATTGCCTTAGACCCATGCCCTGGTGATAGAAATGAGAGCGGTGAGCATGCTCATGGAGCCTGTGCTAAGTTGATTAGTACCAGGTCCTGTGCTAGATTTCCTTCTTAGCGTGCTCATGACTACTCTGTGGGGTAAGTTTACCATCCTTCCCAGGCTAGAAATGGGTTGCAGAGGATTGAGGCGGTAAAGTGATTTGCCTGGGATCACATGGTTAGTGGCAGAGGTGGAATTCAAACACCACTCCTTCGGACTCCAAAGCCTCTATGGTATGCCCATCGGGCCACCACTCTGTGGAAACACATAGAAGCATAAAAGCAACAAGGTACTTGCTCTTGGTTTGGGGGGGATTGCAACTATGAAAATTGATGCATGTGCACACGAATCTCACAATATTAGTGGCCCTCTGCCCTCTTCCCCTTCTTTACTTCAAACTAAGTTGAAAAGTCCCTCTTCTAAGGTCTGCCATTTTTAGTAGTGGCTCTGTGCCAGAAATGACCCCCTATATACGGAATGCTATAGATGAACCTGCCTGGATGGAGCTGCGGGGGGCGCCTTGGTGACTTAGCAGCCAGATGACATTTTTGCCTCCTGCTGTAGAGCACTGGCCCTGGTTCCCTTCAGCATGAAGTCCTTGCTGCGGCGAGCATCGGCCTACGAGGCTCTGGAGAAGTATCCCCTGGCCTATGTTGACTACAAGGTTGTGCTGCAGATTGATGATAGTGTGACGTCAGCCTTGGAAGGCGTCAACAGGTGAGCCTGCGTCACCATGGACATTCCCCGTGGAACTCCCTGCCCTCTGTCATTGGCTTGGAATGATCACTTTGCTCATCTTCTGGCAGGATCCGTTTGGGGTAGGCTTAGAAATTCCTGATGACCTTTTGGGCAAGGAAGGAGAATTTGCTGTCATATTTGGTAGGTGTTTAAGGTGTCAGGATTATTGGATTATTTTTTTACCCCTAGATGTTCAAATTCATTCACACAGTATAATTTGTTGAGCTCTTTTGAAGGTGGTGTGCCAGGTTCAGTGGGAATACCAAAACAAAACAAATACAGACCCCACTTACCTCAAAGAGCTAACCAGAGTGGGGAATGTGAGACCCACACACAAGCAGCTCAGACCCGAGGCTATAGGATATTGTGTGTGGATATGGTTCAGTATATTGCTCAGTGATCCCTTCGCAAGGCCCCACAGCAGTTGACGTCTCACGGATGTTCTCATTTATGTGATTGGTCATGTTGCCCTTCTTTGCATGGGCTGCTTGAAAGCCAAACACCACACTAATAGCAAACCCTTGTTAGGACTTCATGGTATATATATTTGTGTGCCATTTCTGTCTTGACTTGTTTTCTCTCTGCCTCTTTTCATTTCTGTCATTCAACAAAATCTGCCACTTATGTGCCAAACTGCACTAGGACCTCGGCTGATGCCCAAGACATACCTCTTCCTGCCCTGATAGAGCCCCTGGTCTCATGGAGAACACTCGTCAGTAATAGGCAAGCATAGTACAAGAAATGAGGCAGCACAGGGGGTAAAAAGGCGGCACCTAGCCAGCTAGTGGGGTGGGCAGCAGGGAGGGTTTCCAAAGGAGGTGAGCTGAGACAGAGATGAGGAGAGACCTGGGGCCAACAGCCAGCAAGGAGAAGGCAGCCTGTGTGAGTGTATAGAGATGTCCCTGAGAGAGCACGACCTACATCAGTGCGCTGCCTCCTGCACGCCTCCTGCTGGGCATTGAGCCCAAAACCTCAGCATGGTCCCTGACCAGGAATTGAACTGGCAACCTACTGATCCATATGGGTCACTGCTCAACCACTGAGGCACACTGGCTGGGCAAGATTTGCATTTTTTTAAAATCTCTGAGCGCCCTGGCCGGTTTGGCTCAGCGGTTAGAGCGTCAGCCTGTAGTCCAGAGAGACCGGGTTCGGTTCCCGCTAAGGGCATGTGCCTTGGTTGCAGTTTGTCCCTGGCCCTGGTTGGTCGTGCAGGTGGCAGCCACTCGATGTGTCCTTTTCACATTGATGTTTCTCTCTCTCTCCCTCCCACTCTGTCTGAACAAAAAATGGAAAAATGTCCTTGGGTAAGGATAAAAAAATAAATAAAAATCTCTGAGCATTAATCAGATGCTTGCATGGCTTTATAATAGAGCCATTAAGAAATGTAAAACAGCCCTGGCCGGTTTGGTTCAGTGGTTGGAGCGTTGGCCTGCGGTCCGGAGAGACCCGGGTTCGGTTCCCGCTAAGGGCACATACCTCGGTTGCAGTTTGTCCCCGGCCCTGATCGGTTGTGTGGGTGGCAGCCACTCGATGTGTTCCTTTCGCGTCGATGTTTCTCTCTCTCTCTCTGTTCCTCTCTCTCCCTCCCACTCTACCTAAACAAAAAGTGGAAAAATGTCCTCGGGTGAGGATTAAAAAAAAGAAAAAAAAAGAAAAAGAAATGTAAAATATGGCCCTGGCCAGTTTGGCTCAGCAGTTATAACGTCAGCCTGCGGTCCAGAGAGACCCGTGTTTGGTTCCCACTAGGGCGCCGCACCTCGGTTGCAGTTTGTCCCCGGCCCTGGTTGGTCGTGTGGGTGGCAGCCACTCAATGTGTCCCTTTCACGGTAATGTTTTGCTCTCTCTCCCTCCCACTCTATCTGAACAAAAAATGGAAAAATGTCCTCAGGTGAGGATAAAAAAAAAAAAAAAAAAAGAAATGTAAAACATGGTCCTTTCCTCAGTAATGTGTGTTCCTTTGGGGTTAAGATAGGGTTTAACTGCCCTTAACAAGCAACAGATCATCACTTTGAAGTTAACATAGTGTGGCCCTGTCAGTGTGGCTCAGTGGTTGAGTGTCAGCCCATGCACCAAGAGGTCGCCAGTTTGATTCCCGGTCAGGACACATGCCCAGGTTGTGGGCCTGATCCCCAGTGGGGGGTATGCAGGAGGCGGCCAGTCGATGTTCTCTCTCATCGATGTTTCTGTCTCTCTCTAAAATCAATAAAGACAAAAAAATTAAAAAACAAAAACATAGTGTGACCAAACGAAGGCCAGGCAGGGAGGGAGTGTCATGATGGCTGAACTGAGGAGACTTTTGTGGGTGGCAGACTCCTGTTCCTCTCCTGCTGCATGTTAGGAGGATCTAAAGAGATGGTTCAAACCCGGGGAAGTTGATAACTCTGGCCCTCATACACCTCCTTCGGGTTTGTGAGAGGAGGAGCATCTGAACCCAGCTGGAAACCTCCCGTCTTTGATCCTGCCTTCGTTTCCAGAATGACCCGAGCTCTCATGGACTCACTTGGGCCCGAGTGGCGCCTGAAGCTGCCCTCTATCCCCTTGGTACCTGTTTCAGCTCAGAAGAGGTGGGGCTCGGAAAACCACAAAGAGACAGCTAAAAGCAAATCCAAAGAAACCACAAGTGTCAAGAGCAGAGGTAAGCCATGACTTCCTGCTCAGTTTTGCAGTTTCCTCATAGCCACTTTCTTTAGAGTAACCCTGTCAAAATTGGCCTTGTTTAAGCTGAGTTATAAAAATAATATTAAACAAAGAAGTCTTAACCCCTTAGAGATGGTCTCAACTCTACAGTGAGGGTCGAGAAGATGTCCCCCACTGTCAGGATTGAGCGATATGAGGCATGTTGATCTCCTAGCCTGGCACATAGGTTTCCAGTGTTGGTTCCCTTCTCTCTTCTGGCAGCATTTGGGGTGTATCAGATTGGATACGTTGGTTATAAGAACAGAAAACTCACCATGGTAAAAATAATTAATTGGCTTATATCATTGAAAACTCTGGAGTTCAGGTTCAGGCAAGGTTTGCCCGGCAGCCCACTAGACTGTCAGGATCTGACTGCATTTCTCTGTACTTCTCTCAGCTGTCTTCTCTGGTGCGGTCAGGTCTGTCTGCAGGCAGGCTTCCCTCTTAGCAGTAAAAGAGCTGTGGCAGCCCTGGCCAGTTTGGCTCAGGTCCAGAGAGACCCGGGTTCGGTTCCTGCTAAGGGAGCGTACCTCGGTTGCAGTTTGTCCCTGGCCCTGGTTGGGTTGTATGGGTCGCAGCCACTTGATGTTTCTGTCTTTCTCTCTCTCTCTTCCTCTCCCTCCCTCCCACTCTATCTGAACAAAAAATGGAAAAATGTCCTTAGGTGAGGATAAAAAAAAAAAGCTATGGCAGTTCCTGGTCTCATATCCATATGCCATGCCTCATGACCCAGAGGGAGAGAAAAACTTTTTCTGAGAGGGTTTCTTTCTCCCAAATCCCCGACTCTCATCTTCTCAGTTTGTTCTGGCCTGTTTGGTCATGGGCCATGCCCTGAACTTGTCACTGTGACTGAGGACTGAGATTTTGTGATTAGCTCAGCCCTAACCCCTTTGCCCTACCTCCACAGCAAGAGGGTAATGCTGCCCCAGGAACATGAGCACTGTGTGAGTCCCTGGGGAGGAGAAATAAGAGAAGCGAGGTCAAGGGCAGGTAGCCCTACACAGGAGACTGTCCACTTCGGCTGAGTAGACAGAGAGGTGTTCTTCAGTTGGGGGCTCACTGGATGCTCCGATAGCGCTGCAGGGCAGTTGTCCCGGCTCGGCAGCTAGGTGTTGAGGAGAGGTGGTTCAGGAGGGGTCGGGGCTGGAGCCTTGTGTGGATGGCGGGAGTTATCCCCTTGCCCGGAGGAAACCTATCTGGCTAGGTAGCATTCGCTCTTGTTTGCGGGAGCCTGGTAACTGTTGCCCACTCTTCCCTAGAATGAAAATGTGGGGTGCTGATGAACCAGATGGCTTCAGTGCATCTACCATGAATTCCACCCTTGCAGAGTCACTGAGCCGTGTGTGCTCCAGGCCCTGTAAGCAGTGTGATACCGCATGGGCAGTCTTGGCCTTTGGAAGCTCTTCTTCTAATGAAAGGCTGAGACAGACAGCATTTTAAAATATGGAAATAAGTGCTTACGAGTCTAGTATATGGGGAGTTCAGAATTGGAATTGACATGTGCTTGGGAATGTCGGGGAAAAGGCTCACAGAGGAGGCAGCAGTGAAGGGACAGGTTGAACTGGGCCTTAAAGGGTGAGGGTGAGGTTCTTCAGTGGGAAAGGGACGGGAATTCTTGGCAGAGAATTCATGGCAGAGACAGTGGAGAGCTAGGGTGAATGCATGGGGTGTTGCTGGTGAGCAGCAGGATGCATGGCTATAACATGGTGTGTTGCAGAACCGGGGTAAAGCTGAAGCTGTGTGTAGAAACTCATGCACATGCGCACAAGGAGACATGTACAAGAATGTTCACAGCAGAATGTTTATAACATCAAAAAACAAAACTGGAAATAACCCAAGCCTCCCTAAATTGGAGAATGGAAAACCAGTTGTATTGCAGCATTGAGTTTGGACGAACTGCTACAGGTGTTACACATCGACACAGTCAGTTCTAGGAATGTAACTTTGAGTGAGGGGAAGAACACAGGGTCATAGAAGAATACATAGAATTACGTACTTGTTCCTTTACATAAAGTTCAAAGACAAACAACAAATGGTTTCTGGATACTATTACCTATAGTAGTTGAACTACCAAAAACAAAAAAAGGGAAGGATGCACAGAGTGGGGATAATGGTCTCCTCCGGGGGTGGACTGATTTGGAGAAGGGTCCACAGGGCTTCAAAGGTCCTAGTAAATGTTCAGTTTCTTCAGGTGAGGGATGAGTTCAAGGGTGTTAGTTTTACTCCTAAAACCTTACCCTTGTCATATTTTTCTTTTCTGGGTGGGGAAGGGGGTGCGGAGAGGGGGGCGAGCAGCGACAGCCGGGGCAGCCCCGGGTCATAAATATTACTTTATAAAGATAGTTTTTAAAAATGAAAAAAGCAGGTGCTATGGGAGCTGGAGCCGGAATAACTAATTCAGGCCTGAAGGCCGGGTTGAGCAGCTCGGGTTTCACCTTCTCTCCCGTCTCTCCTTGAAAGCTGGGCAGAGTGGAGGTGAGGCTCAGACCAGACGGCGATGGGAAACAGCACCTGCCCTCCCTTTTCTGAAAGCCTGGAACACCAGATCTTCCGGCTGCCAAGTGGCAGGGTGCTCATCATGTGTGTGTTACCGTGTGCACGTATAAATATGCTTATACCAGGAGTGCTCAGCCTCTTCTGAATGAAACACTGTGGTTAATGTTCCGGAAGCCGGAGACCGGGGGAATCGTGACCAGGAAAGACGCTTTACCACAGCGTAGGAAGCCTCTGGGGAGGGGGCTCTGCCGAAGAGACCCCACTGATCTCAGCTGGGCACCTGCTCCATGGTTTTTTCCTCTTCTGAATTTGTATCTAGTGCCTTCTGGGGATGTGGAGAGAGCCAGAGTTCTGAAGGAAGAAGGCAATGAGCTTGTAAAGAAGGGAAACCATAAGAAAGCTATTGAGAAGTACAGTGAAAGCCTCTCGTTTAGTAACCTGGAGTCCACCACGTACAGCAACAGGTACCTTCCCCACAGCTGCTGGCCTGGGGATCTCAGGACATTGGATATTTCGTTCCTCAATCTTCTCTCGGACTGTGGTGGGCTCTTGTTCCCTAGCATTTAGTCAGTCTGTTAGAGCTCAACATGCAGTCACACTCATTTTGGTTGTCATGAGGCAGACGTTGCCAGTGGCATTCACTCTTAAAGGGATAGAGACCGAGGGATGCCAGAGGGGAGCCTGGGCTTGGTTAGCCCCCTTCCCCAGAATTTTCTTTAACCACCTAAATCAGCATACGAGGTCTCGCTACATAGCCACAACCTCAACACAAGTCTTACAGCCCCCCACCTTCCCGGGAGGCTCCCACCCTATGGCTTCTTAAGACGACTCTTAGAAACTGTGGCACTGAGAGCACAGGGCAGAGCCCAGGGTGTGGAGTAATTGTTGCCTGGCCTGGGAGCCAGAACCAGGTCCCATCTAGCCTGGGGGGTTAGACTCCTGGCACTGTACAAGGTCCTGCACCACGTTCCTCTTCAGTTAAAAAAATCTTGGATCTACTGTAGGCTCACCATTCTTCATCCAAACCTGTGTTTCAGATTTTAAAACTATAATATGGTCCGTACACTGAATCACATGCCATCTAGGGTCTGGGCAGCTTGTGAAGTTAATTGTTAGCATTTCTGCAGTGAAACATAAGGAAGTTCCATGTTCACATGGGGTGGTATAAAGACTAGCCTCATGTCCATTAAGGTCAGGGTTTACTGCCTAACGGGTTAAAAAGGAACTTTTAGTTTGAAAGCTTAAATTCTGGACCTGTGGCTTTCCTGGCTGGTTGGACCAGGGGCGCCTGTCTGCCAGGCTCACGTGAAAACGGCTGTAGCCCACTGGGGCCGTGTTCGAGCAGCAGCATCTGCTCACTCCTTTCTCTGGCTCCCTGGCCTTGCTCCCATGTGGCTCGAGACCTCCAGTACCCCGTTATCCTGCCCATTTCCCACGTTTCGGGACAACGTTTTATTTAAGTGCTGTTTCTCATGCCAGTGTGTCTGTGCCACAGTTTTAGTTTCTGTTGCTTTATAATATCTTGTAGGGCTGTCTTTTCCCATCCTTCTCAATCAGAGCAGCCCTGGCTATTTTCCCAGATTTGCTCTTCCAACTAAACCTTAGGATCATTTTGACAGATTCCCAAAAGTATCTTGTTGGGCTTTCGGTTGTGATTATATGGAATTTATAAACTTAACTTAAAGGACTGATGACTTTGTACAAAACTGAATTTTCCATCCATTATGGCTGAAATTATACCACATTCTGGATGTCATTTTCATGCCCCACCTCCTGCACATGCCCTGTGTAGACGGTGCCTCACCTTTGGCTCGCTTCAGTTCTCTTAGTGCAGCTGAGAACGTGGATGTCACCCCTAAGGTACCCGGCCCCTGCAGCTTGCCAGGCCCTCACTGGACCTCCAGAGACTCATTTAGAACTCACAACAGTTCTTCAGGTTAGGTGATGGTCCCATTTTACCTGTGAGAAAACAGCTTCGGAAAGATGAATTAAGACACACAAAGTTAAACAACTCAGACGTAGTGGAGCTGTGACTGCAGCCAGGTCTTTGTGACTCCAGAGCTTGGGATTTCTTCACTCACTCATGTTATCTCCTAGACTGCTCTGTAATGAAAAGTAAAATAGGTACATCCAACTAAGCGACCACTCTGCACCCGTTCAGAATGACGAGGTGGAGGAGATAGACTTTCATACCGAGCTCCAAGACATCTGACTGTTCTGCTGACTGTCTCTGGAGAAAAGGGCTAGAATTGAGTGGGGAAGATACACACACATACTCTTTTCCCCGTAGATGCAGGATGGCTTGCATGGATATGCATGACTTACTTTTTTCCAACATTTTGAAAATTTTCAAAATACAAGTTGAAAAATTTTTCATTGAACAAACCTATACCTACCATCTAAATACAATTTTGTTATATTTGCTTTATCACTATTTAACCATCTATTGATCCACATCAAAGTTGCAGACACCTTTACATCTCACCCCTAACACACCAGCATGCATATCATGAATTCAAGCCCAGCATTTATATTTTTGTTTTCTTAAGGCAGGTAACTTTAATCTGTCAAGGGGAAGGTTTCAGGAAGCCTTTTCTTTGCTTGAAACAGCGCAGTGTGGGAATGTGAGGTCGACAAAAGGCTAGAAGTTAGTGAGCTCGGGGTCTGGAGGCAGGAGAACCCGAGCTGAGTTGGTTCTGCCCTCAGTGGTAGAACCTTGAGCAAGGTGCCTCACCCCTGAGCCCACATTCTCACCTGTGGAAGGTGCTGGGGGGGTTGTGAGGTTGAAGAACAGGTGAAGTGAGCATCACAGAGCAGGTGTTCAGCGAATCAAGATCACGCCTCACACTTCCTCCCTGCTCTGGGGGCCCTAAGGAGGGACTGAACTCTGGTCTCTCCCTGTCAGAGCGCTCTGCTATTTGGTCCTGAAGCAGTACAAGGAAGCGGTGAGGGACTGCACAGAAGCCCTCAAGCTAGATGGGAAGAACGTGAAGGCATTTTACAGACGGGCTCAAGCCTATAAGGCCCTCAAGGTAAGATTCCCATCAGAAGGCACCCACTAAGCTGCGGGCATTTGTGCCTGTGGGCACTTCCAGAGCATGGTCAAGAGGAGGTGGCGGCTGCCATAGCCCTTCTCATCTGGGGGCCCCGGGCAGCTCCAGCCCAGCCTGTGGACTAGGGTTTCAAAGCCTCTGCTATCTCAGCAGCCGTCCCTACTTCCCCTTGGTCGCACCTCAGTCACAGCACCGTCCCCACGCCCTTCTCTATTCTATTAGGACTATAAATCCAGCTTTGCCGACATCAACAGCCTCCTAAAAATTGAGCCCAGGAATGGCCCTGCACAGAAGTTGCAGCAAGAAGTTAACCAGAGCTTAAAGTAAAAACCCAGAAGGGCAGCAGGAAACCTCCGCCATACGACCTTCCTCTGTGCCTGCCTCTGGGACCCAGCATGCCCAGCTCTGAAGCACCCTCCTCTGCCCTCAAAGAGGCGGTGGCCTCCCACCTCTTAAGAGGCTTTGTTCAAATTAAGCTCAGTGTAGCCAAAACCCAGACATTGTTTTGCTGGAAAGGTCCCTGCTATGCTGAAGCCCTGTTCCCGTCCCCCTTCCTTGGACAGCTGGCGGATCACACAAACGGCTCCGCCCCTGCCCCAAGCATGCTCCAGACCGAGCGAGCGCTGCCTTCGAGCTTCATCAGACCCACCTCACTGTGGTTCATCTGAACTAACGGAACTGGGGGGCGGGACTAGAAAACCCTGGCCCACCCACACCTAAAGCAGCCTGTTGAGCTGGTTCTCCAGGGCTGCCATCCTGCCCTGTCCTTGGCTTAATCCCCTGTGTGCTGAGCTCCAGCCCTTTTGGCCAGGCCCCTCTGGTGGGGATGCAGAACCCTGACCCTGAGGTGGCTTTGGGGCTCTGTGCTGCCTCCTACATGGAGGTACCTAAGCCATTTCAGGAGCCCAGAGGTGTGGCCACTCCTGAAGGTAGAGGGGGAAGAAGGGCCTCCTTGAAGTCAGTGTCCTTCCATTCTGGGCAGGGACTTGCCTTTTGACTCCAACAGTGGCCCTCCCAGCTTATTTCTTTGTTATAGGAAGTTAATTTGAACTGAACTGACTCTGGTTTTGTTGAACTGTGTGTTTAAGTGAATACATTAAACGTCTTTGTTCTACATAAATGTGTTGTACTTCCATTTATGCTTTTTCAGCTTTGTGCTTGGGATTTTGTAATAACACAAGCTACCACTTTTTGAGCATTCAGCTCATTGAACAAGTTCACTGAAATGTGTGCTCGGGCCAGGCCCTGTGTATAGTACTGGGGAACGACAGTGAATGAGTAGACATGGCCCCTGTTCGCCGAGGGCTGAGTCTAGTGGGACGGGAGACATTAATCAGGTGACCCCAGGAACAAGTGTAGAACTGCAGCCAGCCTGTGGGCTTTAAAGGAGTCACCACAATGCTCCCGCTGCCTCGCAGGGAGATCTGACCCTGTGGAGGGAAAGGGGGCCCTGAGGAACTAAGCTGGAATTGATTCTAATGTGGGAGTCTAGCTGGTGAAGAGGGGAGGGGCAAGGCCCTCAGGAGGATGGTGAGCACAGGGACCACTCCAGCTCACGGGCACGGTTGGATGAGGCTGGAGCGTGCTCTAGCACCCAGCTACAAGTAAGGGCTGCCTCCCGTTCCTGGGCTGCCCTACTCGGTTCCTCTTGATGAAGTAGCAGTTTGATGACTCCGCGAAGCAGAGCAGACAGGTTCCCATCCCTGAGTGCAGAGCAGCACTAGCTGTTAGCGAGCTGCTGTGACCTCTCCGGAGTCCGCTGAGCAATCACAGGCCTGCGAGCTGAAGGGGGTCTAAGTCCACAAAGGCCATGGCCATGGCCAGGGGACCGTTTCAAAGCCGGGTATTTTACCCCTCGTAGTGCCCCTCTTTTTTTAAAAAAAATTTTCTTTATTGATTTGAGAGAGAGAAACATCGATGAGAGATAACATCGACTGGCCGCCTTCTGCATGCCCCGCACTGGGGATCAGGCCCACAACCTGTGCATGTGCCCTGACCGGGAATCGAACCAGCGACCTCTTGGTGCATGGGTCGACTCAACCACTGAGCCACACCAGCCAGGCGCCCCTCTTAAGCAGGCGGGGCTCTTGCTCGATTTGAGGCAGGGTTAGCGGTGACATCCAGTCACGACTGACTGACTCCTTGAGGTCTAGAAGGCAAGTATCTGGATTTACTAATGAAAACCTGGAAGCTGAGAGCAGGACAACCTGAAGAGGCTTTGCCCTTCCTGCAGGGGAGGAAAATCATGACCCGGGAAGGTAGCCTGAAGCGTCTCCACGGGGTTCTTGACGTTAGCCAGTCCCTCGGCCAGAACCCAGAAGCAGTTGCTGCTTCCGGGTGTTCCCTGCACCGCCCCTGTGGCTGTAGTTCAGTCCTCAGTGCTGTGTGATGACCACCAGTTAGCCACCCATGCACCACTGGTGGTGGTGCCTGCTGCCGCGGGCTCTCCCAGAGTCCTGCTAGTGCCTGCAGCCCCATTGCCCACACCCTGTTTCAGCACTGTTCTCCTTTCCGTTCCTTACAGCCAAAGCCCCACCCCGTCAAGCCTGCCCTCTGCCCACCTCCCTCACACAAGGCCTCCTGGGAGACAGACCAGTTTGCTGCACTTTTAATGCACAAAGCAATGGGGCGCAGGGAGGGGATGGAGATGGTGGGGGAGGGTACAGTGGGGATAAATGGTGATGGAAGGAGACTTGACTCAGGGTGGTGAACACACAACACAGTGCACAGATTTGTGCACCTGAGACCTGTATACTTTTGTTAACCAGTGTCATCCCAATAAATTCAATAAAAAAGAGGGGAAGAATGTAATGGGCTGGCTGGGGTCAGCCTTCGTTCCACACACACAGCTCAGGTACAGATACAGCCCAATTGGGAAACCAGTTACGGTTCACAAGGCCTTAGAGCCAAGAGCAGGAAAACTGTTCTCTTGTCAGCCGAGGGAGTGAGGATTCCACTTTCTGGGGATGAAAGAGTAAAAATCAGTGTTTCTGAAGTATGGCAGACACCTGGTCTTCTTCAACTAAGGACAGAGACTGGACGAAGCCAGGCCTTTGGGCAGGCAGAACGGAGCGAGGCAGCGCCCAGAGGAAGTGAGGCCAGGCAGGGCAGCTAGAACGCCTCCTTCACGTTGCAGTCGGCACCCATGCCAGTCACAGGGCTTCCCCCAGATTCCTCCAGGGGCCTCAGAGAAAGCAGTGTTACAACATGGTTACAACATGGTGAAAGCCAGCTGGTCCTGCCCAGTTCTTGACTGCTTCTGGGCCCAGCTGCTTCTGTCACCGTTCCTCCCACCCCGCCCACCCACCTGGTTCCAGTCGCCTCCACTTTCGTCTGCTCCTACTCCATGGCCTGGTGAGCCTGCAACACTGCCAACGCCTCTTCTACCTGTGGGGCAGTGGGAGGGGCTTAGTGCAGCTGCCCAGCAGGGTCCCAGGGAGCGCCTTGACCTCCCCCTGCTCCACATGCTAGATACAAGAATTCCCCTCCCTCCACAGCATTTCTGCAGGGCCCTCATCTGACTGCTGCTTGCCAGCAACCGGGTCAGAAACCCACGGTCATCTTCATCTTCTCAATACACGTGCGCTGCTGGACAGCTGGGAAAATCGTAACCCTTACAGAGTCAGAACACAGGTCCTGTGCCAAAACCTTGCCTATGGAGCTGCAGAGAATCATCTGTCCCACTCACGATTCCGCAGGTATTAGCAAGAAGATAAACCTCATCTGTCCAGATGGCAGCCTACTGGCTCATCTAGGAGACGCCTTGGTCCTTAGCTGTCCTCTTGCCCTCAGGGCTCCCTGGCACCCAGGCCCCAGCCCACCTTGGCATTGAGAGACTCCGGAGACTCCAGCATGAGCAGCAGTTCCGAGTTGTCGATCTCCAGCAGCATGCCCGTGATCTTGCCAGCCAGCTGCGTGTGGGCATCGTAGATAAGGGGGTAGAGACGCTCACCTGTGTGGAACACCTCTGGTGGGTTATGAACACACACCTGGCTGATACCCCAGCATCCCGGGGCAGTACTGTGGAATGGGGCAGTGAGGCATCTGGGTGGCTGTCCCCAAACCGCTCCTTCCAGGTGATGTTACTTAACCTGGCTACCAGCAGCCTCTTTCCCAACTGAAGGGGGCATAGCCAACCTCAGTCTGGAGGTCAGTCTGCAGACTCCTACTTGATGTTAGATGTGAAGTAGTTGCATAGCGTTTGACACAAAATGTGGTTGCTTTTTAAGGACTACTCTTGTTCATTTTGCAGGAAATAGTTCCAAGTAGACACACTGAGATTCTAGACAGGATATGATAAGGCTGAACCTGACTTTTTGGGGGGTGGAGAGCCAAATACACAAGATAAATCCACCTTCCACCATCAGGTACTCCTAGTGACGGCCTAGTGTTCGCAGTCAGCCCATCTTGGCAATGTGTGGAGGGGCTGGGCAGGCTGGGGTGCCTGGAGTGGGAGGGGTTTTCCCTTGAGCAAAGTGAAAATGTTTACAAGAACTGCCAACAGAGCTTTCTGCCTCCATTAAGCCCACTGCGATTTTTTCTTTGAGGTGTAGGTAAAAAGTGGCAAAACCCCAAGTGAGTTGAGGAAACAATGGGGTGGTGGCAGTGGGGGCCTACAGAGAAAGGTCCGAGAAGGGTCAGGGGATCTTGGTGACCTTGAGGAAAAGAAGCTGCCAAGCACTAGCAAGCCGTTCATTCGTTCAACAGTTAGCAGCACCCTTGAGCAGGGCCTGTCACAGACACAGGAAGAACTGCACAGGGTCCAGGGTCCAACGGAGAACCACCGTTGTTTCTCCTGAAGCACATTTATTTCCCACCTTCCTGCACTGGGCTCCACTAGGGAAGCTGATGAAATCTGGTGACAGCTTCTTCCCTTCCAGGGGAGATGTGAGGAACCCCAACACCCACCTTATGTGCCATGACCCGGCAGAAACCCAAGACCATACCCTTCATACTTACTCCACCTCCTGGCCCCTGATCTCCCCACATCTGGGGTCTGTCCCAGCCAAAGTCAAGAACAACAGAGCTGAAGAAACCCTGGGCACATCTGGTCTGACCAGTATTTTAAGATGAGAGAACAGAGCCTAGATTATTGGTCACCTAGCAGGTTGGTCAGTGGCAAAGCTGGACCTTGTCTTCACGTGTGACCTCCACTCGGTGTTCCCCACCAGGCTAGCCAGCTCCCAGCCCCCCTCCTCCTGCTACAGAGCAAGGGAACCAGCCACTCACCAATCATCTGCTTTTGCTTGTGCAGTGGTGCTGCGGCCAGCATGGATGCGGTCAGGGGCTCCTGTCCAGGGAGGCACACAGCAGGCTCCTGGACCTGCACATGGTGCCGGGGACACATCCCTTAACCACCACGGACAGGCAAGGCCTTGAAACACTTAACCCTGTCAGGTGAGCACAGGCCTCCAGGAAGGCTCTGGAAGAGGGGAGCGGGGGGCAAGGTATGGACAATCGGGTGGGACAGAGGCCCCAACAAGGGCACGGTGGACAACATGACAAAGTTACACTCTGAACAGCTGTTTTCCACAGTGCTAGGAACCTCTAAAGGCCCCCGATGCATGCAACCAAATGAAGCCATACCTTACTAATCATTTTGTATCAACGCACTTTTGATCAGGTAGCTTTTAGGGCCATATTCCCAATATACTTCTGACCCTTTCACTTCTGATCTTGATAACTTTAAAGGCATGTTGCTCCTTAAAGACTACTCGCCCGACCAGTGTGGCTCAGTGGTTGAGCGACAACCCATGCACCAAGAGGTTGCCGGTTTGATTCCCAGTCAGGGCACATGCCCAGGTCGTGGGCCCAATCCCCAGTGGGGGAAATGCAGGAGGCGGCCAATCGATGTTCTTTCTTATCAATGTTTCTGTCTTTTTCTCCCTCTCCCCTCCTCTCCCTCTAAAATCAATTAAAAAAAATAGCCCTGGCTTGTTTTTCTCAGTGGTTAGAGCGTCGGCCTGTGGACCAGAGAGGGTTCAGTTCCCGCTAAGGGCATGTACCTCGGTTGCAGTTTGTCCCTGGTCCCGGCTGGGGTTGTATGGGTGGCAACCACTCAATGTGTCTCTCTCGCATTTATGTTTCTCTCTCTCTCTTCCTCCCTCTCTCCCTCCCAATCTATCTCAAGATAAATGCAAAAAAAATGTCCTCAAGTGAGGATAAAAGTAAATTAAAGAAAATAAAGAAAAATTAAAAATATAAATAAAGACTACTCTTTCCCAGCTAGTGTGGCTCAGTGGTCGAGTGTCAACCCATGTATCAAGAGGTTGCCAGTTTGACTGCTGTTCAGGGCACATGCCCGGGTTGTGGGCCCAATCCCCCATGGAGGGCATGCAGGAGGCGGCCAATCGATGTTCTCTCTCACCAATGTTTCTATTTCTCTCTCCCTCTCCCTTCTCTCTAAAATCAATAAAGAAAAAATATATTTTTTAAAAAGACTACTCTTGTTTCTTTTGCGAGAAATAGAAGTGTGCATGGTGAAATTCTAGACAGGAGATGAAAATGCTAAGTTTGAGACTGGGGGTGGGGGGTGCACAGGGAGATGAATGCACAGCCTTTAAACTTAATGATGGTATTTTCAATTCTGTTTTGCAGATTAATCCCATCCTTGCTGCCCACACATAAATACTAAGGAAATCCAAATTCAGTTGGTAATAACCCAGGCAAAGCAAATCGTGACTAATAAAACATGGTCCTGGCCCTTTTCCTCCTTCTGTTAGTAAGGGTGATCTTCTTTTCTTTTAATATGTTTTTATTGAATTTTTTTAGAGAGAAAGTTGGGGAGAGAAAGAAACATTGATCGGCCGCCTCCTGCACCCCCCTACTGGGGATCGAGCCCACAAGTGGAGCATGTACCCTGACAGGGAATTGAACCGGGACCTCTCAGTCCATGGAGGATGCTCAATCCACTGAGCCACACCAGCCGAGCATGGGTGATCTCTTTTTGATTGTACACATGAATAAACGAAACTTTATAAGCCAAGCAAAGGAAGAAAACTAAGGCCCAGAGAGGGCCAATACCTTAGCCAAGGTTCTAGCCAGGCCCCCTAGAGCCTGCACCAAGAGGGCAGCTGGGCCAGCCTTACCTCGTGGGTGTTGGGCGTTCCCAAGGAATATCTGTGTGTCAGGAGAGGCCCGCTTGCTGTACAGCATCCTGCCTCACCAGGTCCAGTGGTCTGGGTACCAATGTTGGCTGTAAGAAATAAGCAGGGCGTTAGGGCCTGGGAGCAACCTGAAGGCATAAAGCCTAGAGAGCGCATTCACGCAGAATCCGCAGCACTGAGCCCAGTGCCGGCACACGGATGCACAAACACCTTTCACACGTGCGTGCCTAGAGTCAACACCTACACCCTTGTTCATAGCTGCTGCCGTGAACCTACTAAGTGCAGATCTGGTGCTGAGGCCCTGCATGTATGATCTCATTCACCCACACCACAAAACTGTTTTCATCCCCATTTTAAAGATGAGGTGATCTGTTAACAGAAGTTAGTGAGGCCACAGAGTAAAGGTAACGCCAGGAACTGGGCCTGCAAGACTCTGGAACCCTCGCTAACCACTGTACTGCACAGCCTCTAAAGTCAGCCCTGCTCTCCAAGAGGGTCACCACGGAGGCTGGTTCTGATCCCCGACTAGTGCCAAGCCAGCACCAAGCCCCTGCCCCTGCCCCCTCGCATGCCCACTCCTCCTGGTCCTGCCTCCACTCACCCACTCTTTGGGTGTGGGGCACCCAGTGTGGCACCTGGGTGCAGACCTTCCTGACACTGCTGATGTGGGCCAGGGAGCGCGGAGACGTGGCTGGTGGCCAGGCCACTGAGGCAGCTGCAGGGTAAGTGGCTTGTGGTACAGAGAGCATGGAGGAAGAAAGGTTGGCAGGAAGCAGGGGCATTAATCAGAGTGACACACCATACCCCGCCGGTTCCAGGAAGAGGAACCAGACATTAAGAGCAGACAGATGAGTGGCTTCACCTCTGCAGGCAGACCCAGCACTCCAGGAAGGGGGTGTGGATGTTTGCTATTACAAACCGACTCATGGCTCCCAGAGCCCCAAGAGGCACAGGTGGCACGGTCACACACCTTCGTCCCCACAGAGGGTTTCGTCAGGTAACCTTCACTCTTAGAAAAGGGCCATTTATCAGCAACACAGCCAAAGGCGTTTCACTTTCTCAGCTTTGCAAGAATTTTCAGCCACAAATCAGTCTTGAGCCGACTGAAGAGAAGGCGAGCCTTTCGCAGGCTCGGCGCTGTGCTTGGTGCGCTTACACGTGCCTCATTGAGGCCCACATTCAGCGGAGGAAACAGGCTCACAGAAGAAGTTACCCACCCAAATTAACACCCTAGGAAGTGACAGAGACAGGCCTGACCCCAAAGCTCATGTTCTTTAACCATGATGTTACACACTACCCCATCGGGCCCACTCTCATGAGTGGAAGGGGCTGGGTCACTCACACGAGGATCTAGGTGGCTGAGCCGTCCACCTGGGGGCAGGCTGGACAGATGGGCCAGAGCCATAGTATGTAGCCTGGGCTGGAGGCTGTGTGGAGAAGACCCGGAGTAAGGGGGGGTGCAACAGGGGAAGTAGAAACTGCATCCCCTCAGGGACACCATCACAGGAACTCCACTGTCCCCTCCAAGGGACTGGTTAGTAAAGACCCACAGTGCTGGGACGAAGGCTTGCTTCCTATTTCAGGATGTCCACTATTCCTCAACCCTCCAGGGCAAGATCTCCGGTTCCATCCTCGCCCTTTATTATCGGAGCTACTAGCCCAACGACCGGCCGGGATAAAACGGTGACACATTCTACTGAGCAGGAATTTCCCCATTCTAGTAGCCTTTAATGGCTAACACCTTTCTACTTCCACACGAACTCCCTTCCCAAACCATGCTGCTCAGAGATGGTAGCAGGCAGGCACCCTGCCAAAAACGACCATTTCAGTTGGGGGCGTGCTACCTACTCTCCGGGTTGGGACAGTCAGAACACATACTGGCACATGAGGGTAGGACAACGTAAGTGATCAAGAAACCTTGGCTTCCTTTGTTTACTGAAATTGTTCCCAAACTTAAACTTGACCAGAGAGTCTCCCATTGGCAAGCACGGTTGGACAGTGACACTCTCAGCCCTTTCAGAGATGGGGTGAAAACGACCTGCTGTTTCTAGCAGAAGCAAGTTGGGAGCCTGTGTCTGCCTGTGAAGCTCTCTTCCTGCTCTACCTGGCCATCTGGGGTTTCGGGTTGGCCCTCACCTGGGGCACGCTGGGCAGGAAGTAGCTGGCAGGCTGCTGGAAGGAGCCCAAGAGGGGGCCGCCCAGGGCCCGCATGGCCGAGAAGCGCTGCTGCATGAACCGGTTGGTCAAGATGGCCTTCCGTTCCTCTTTGCGCTGGGCCAGCGCCACGTACAGCGGCTTGGTGCCCAGGATGCACCCGTTCATCTCTGTGACGGCCTTCGTTGCCTCTTCTGGAGAGGAAAAACACACAAAGCCAAACCCTTTGCTGTGGCCACCCTCTGTCATCACCTAAAAGCAAGACAAGACAAGGGCTGCTGGGGGAGGGGAAACAACTCCTGGGGCCTGTTCCCCTCCTCCCAGGGGCCCCAACCTGGCCCTGAGCAGGCCCAGCAGGAATTTGCCATCAGGGGTGTCCTGTCACCCCCACATTCACGGAGGCTCACTGCATGCCAGATACGTGACACTCCTCACATCACTGTGACCCCCACTTGATAAGTGAAGACAGTGGGGCTCTAGAGTGACAGGTCTGAGACCAGCCCACTTGCTAACCTAGGGCTGCTCATGTTTCGCTGACCATTCCCCAGAGGCAGGGAGAAGAGCTGCATTCCAGAATATATTTTTAACCTGGCCGGTGTGGCTCAGTGGATGAGCCTCGACCCATGCACCAAGAGGTCACTGGTGCGATTCCCAGTCAGAGGACATGCCCAGGTTGTGGGCCCGGTCCCCAGTGCAGGGCATGCAGGAGGCGGCCAATTGATGTTCCTATCTCTCTCCCCCTCACCCTTCCTCTCTCTAAAATCAATAAAGAAAAAAATATATTTAAAAACAGTGGGGAAAAAATATTTTTATTTCTCAAAAGATTTTCTTAGGCTGTGATGGGAAGCTGGCTTAATTAAATGTATATACCTTCCTCAGAGGGGCTGAAATGATGTGAGATGATAGTCCAGGCTTAGTTAAAAATCTAAGAATAGGGCAAGTTCTTCAGCCAGGGCCACAATCAGACATTTCAGTTGAGGTCACTATGATGAAAACAATCTGCATTTCGACTACTTCTTGGGTTTTATTAAGCTAGTCATACAATTCTCTACTTCATTTGTGAATCATGGACATCAAAAAGGTCCTCTTCTTAACAGCTATATTTCCTGGAGATTCCAATGAAGAGTTAGATTGGTAGGGAATATGAAAATAACTTGAATTTCTATTCTTGGTACTTTAATCTGTTAATCTTATTTTTAGTAGAAATAAAACTTTTTATCATTAAAAAAAAAAAAAAGCCCAGGCTGGTTTGGCTCAGCAGTTAGAGCATCGGCCTGCTGATGCGGCCAGAGTCGCGGGTTTGATTCTAGTCAAGGGCATGTACCTCAGCTGCGGTTCAATCCTTAGCCCTGGTCAGGGTCATCAGGGAAGCAACCAGTTGCTTGTCTCCCTCTTATCAATGTCTCTCTCTCTTTCTCTCCCCCACGCCCCCTATTTGAAAATCAGTGGAAAAATATCCTGGGGTGAGGATTAAAAAAAAGAGAGTGACTTGTCCAGGGTCACCCAACCAGTGGGTTATATGTCAAGACTCCAATGCAATGAACCATCTGGTAAACCCCCATTGCCTCCGCAAGGTCTTGAGCCAAGTTCTTTTGAAGTCTGGAAAAGAGGTTCTTAGCCTTTCAATTAAAATATCATTTTTATTTTGGAATAAATTTAGATTTATAGAAAAGTCTCAAAAATAGTACAGAGTTGCTGTACACCTTTCACCGAGCTTGCCCCAATGTTAACATGGTACATTTATTGAAACTACCATAGTTACATTGGCACAATACTATTAACTACATTAGCTACAATACTATTAACTAAACTGTACATTTCATCTGGATTTCAATAGTTTTACCACTGACATTCTTTTTCTCTTCCAGGATCCAATCCACATTACATTTAGGGTTCTTGATCTTTTTTAGAGTCAAGACTGGCCTGGCTCACCTACTCCATGAGAAATAGAGCTGAGATAATTTTTGAATATGCTCTATTAGAGCCCATGCCCTGCACCAGTGATTTTCCAACTGTACTTTGCTACCTGCTCATATAGAAGCCTTAACCTGAGAGTTCACAGATCCACTGGGAGGTCAATGGATGGAATTCAGGGGATCTGCAAACCTGGATGGGGAAAATATGGCATCTATATTTTCACATTAGCATTTCCTTCTATTTTGAATGTGGGCAACAAAAAATATAGTAGTATTAGCTGTGCTTGTGACTGTCAAGAAGAGAAAATATTTTCACATCACATTCATTATTGCTGATCTCAAAATAACTTTTATGCTAATTGCTACTTCACTAGATCTTGTAGTTTGATGCATTAATAAAGAAGTACATACTGCTACCACCTTAGCATTTTGATAATTATTTCAATATAATTGTGTTTTGTGGTTCTATCAGCTTTCCTTTATGCATTTAAAATTATTCTCAAGCCTTGGCCAGTTTGGCTCAGCAGTTAGAGCATTGGCCTGCGGTCCAGAGAGACCGGGGTTCGGTTCCCACTAAGGGCACGTAACTCGGTTGCAGTTTGTCCCCGGCCCTGGTTGGGTCGTGTGGGTGGCAACCACTTGATGTGTCCCTTTCATGTCAATGTTTCTCTCTCTCTCTCTCCCTCCCACTCTATCTGAACAAAAAATGGAAAAATGTCCTCGGGTGAGGATAAAAAAAATAAATAAAAATAAAATAAAATAATTCTCAAAAAACAAGTATTCTCAAAAGGGGTCCATAGGCTCTATCAGACACCCACTTTTTCTTGGCACAAAAATACTGTCTTAAATTAACAAGAACTTACGTTAGGTAGAAAAAATAATAATAAATTAGTACAGCTAACACTTATGCAAAGCTTACTATGAACTTGATAGTGTTGTAAGCACTTTATATACATTCTCATTTAATTTTATAAATACTAATTTATATGAAAAAATACATTAAATTATATAAAAATATATAAACTTATATGAAGTCAATTCACAAGATAGGTGTGTCTCAACTCTAAGCAATACAGATTTTTACACTTCCCTTCATTCAAGGAGGGAGGTGAATCTCCTGAAATTATATATGCAATGTATGCAAATAATTAGATCATGATTTCACTACTTATTGTGGGCAGGTGCTCTACATGTAGGCTCTTCAGTTCTCAGGAAACCTCTAGAAGTAGGGAATGTTGCTCCTATTTTACAGATGGGCAAACAGAGCCCAAAAGGCACTCATTTCCCTCAGGTCATACAGCTAGTTAATGGCAGGACAGGGGTTCAGACCTGGTTCTGATTAATTTTAACATCCTAGCTTTCAACCACGATACTAAACCAAGTACGCATTTGCCGGAAAAGAGGGCCCACAACTTCTTGTGATGTTTAATCCAACTTCCTGTTGCTTAATTTACATATCCCACAGCTTTCTGTCACACTTTTCGTCAAAAGCTCCTTAACTCAAAAATTGTTACAACCTTTCCTCCAAATAACAGGATCCCTGAAGGACATTTAAAGTTGGATTTAAGCCTGGCCGGTGTGGCTCAGCGGTTGAGCGTCAACCCATGCACCAAGAGGTCACCGGTTCTATTCCTGGTCAGGACACATGCCCAGGTTGTGGGCTAAATCCCCAGTGGGGGGCATGCAGGAGGCAGCCAATCGATGTTCTCTCTCATTGATGTTTCTCTCTCTCTCCAAAATTAATAAAGAAAAAAACTAAAATAGATAAAATAAATAAAGTTGGACTTAATAGGCAAAAGAACTTGTAGACCACTTCCTAAGAATGTAACCATCAGAACACATGTGCAGGTCTCCAGCCCCATTACCCACACCGATCTCTTTGGAAGGTTCCTCATTCCCACCTGCAGCTCCCTACCTCCTCACAGCCAAGTCAAACCCTTCTGCCACTGCCACTTCTTACAGGAAGCCCTCCTTCCTGTTCCACTGAGCTACTGCAGCTCCACCTCCAATACTTACCCCACCACCCAACACATGCCTTATAGATTTGAGTTAGTGATGCTTCTGACTTCCCCACTAGACTGTAAGCTACCCAAGGACAAGGACCTGTTCCTGTGTGCTTCTCATGGGGCCTGGTAAAAGCAGCAGGTGTTTAAGTATGCAATAAATGAACACTGGGCCATCTTAAAATCATCTGGGGAGATTTTCAAAATAAAATGCCCTGCTCTGGCCAGTTTGGCTCAGCAGTTACAGTACTGTCCTGCGGACTGAAGGGTCATGGGTTTGATTCCCAGTCAAGGGCATGTATCCGAGTTGTTGGCCCCGGTCGGGGTTGTGTGGGGGGCAGCCAATCAATGTGTCTCTCTCATATCACTGTTTCTCTCTCTCTCTCTCCCTCCCTCCCTTCCACTCTATCTAAATAATAATAATAATAATAATAATAATAATAATAATAAACATATCCTCCAGTGAGAATTAACAAAAAAATAAATAAAATGCCCAGTCCTTACCCTCAGAGATCTACATTTACTTTCTCTGACTCAGGTGTTTGTATTAGGAGCACCCTAGGGGATTTCACTGAGAAGTCAGGGTTGAGAACCATTGCAGCCCAACTTCCTCCTCTTATACATGAGGCTCAGAAGACATCTGCTCAAGGTCACAGAGCTACTGAGTAGAACGGCCAATCATCACACCTCAGATACCAAGGCGGCTTAATAAATGGGGAAGAATAAACGAAAATGATGTAGCCCCAACCCTCTCGTTCTTCAGATGGAGAAACAGGCCCAGAAGGGGTATGTCACCAGCCAAGGCCAGGCAACGAAAGTCAATGGAAATACTAAGACATGAATTTCTGGAATCTGGCATACAGGAGGCACTCAATAAATGCTTGTTGAATGAACCAAGGGTACAGTGAGCCCCAAAAAGACCAGCTGTGTGACTGGGACTGTATTTCTACCCTCTTTCCCTCCAGCCCAGGCAAAGTCCAATGGGATCAGACATAGTCCCAAATCCAAAAAGTGTAGCTCAGTGCCAGCTCCCTGGAAGCCCAGGGAGGGAGGAGGGGTGCGTGGGCAGTGAGGGTGGAGGGGAAGGCCGCCTGTCCACTGGAGGCGCCCGCAGCCCTCACCTTGGCACTGGTGATCACTCCATAGGGAGAGAACTCTTTCCTCAGTCTCTCATTGTCAATGGAGTCGTCCAGGTTCTTCACATACAGGTTCACACCCTGGAAGAAAGGACACTGCTAGCTCTGCCTCCCCTCTAAGCTCCCGATTGCCTTGGAGTGTGGGGTGTGGGGTGGGTGTGGGGGTGGGGGTGGGGGGCCGCCGGGGGCAGTGGAAGCCCTGGTCACCATGCCTCCTGTTCCCAGTCTCGCGCAGAACCCATGCACCTCCCCAATCACTCAGCGTGCCCATCACCTGGAAGCTGGAGCCCCCCCACCCCTAAAGCCCAGTTCCCAGACATGGGATTGATAGAGGAAAGAGTCCCATCAGGGCCACCCACACATAGAAGCAGCTGCCACCAGGAGGCTGACCCGCACCTGGTAACGACTCAGCCGGTCCTGCTTCATCTGCTGGAACCTTCGTTTAAGCTCATTCTGCCTCTCCGCCCGCTTCTGGGCCCGGCCCACATAGAGCAGACGCCCGCTCACCTCCTTCCCATTCATGTCCATCACAGCCTGTGCAGAGAAGATGAAGTGAGAGGGCTTGGTAACCACCCATAAGGCCCTGGTCTTAGCCAGGGCCTCCAGTCCCACCTCAGGGGTCTAGAAGGGGCCACCTGCCAGCCAGGCCAGCCTTGTTAGCTGAGAGTAACTAGTACCAGGATAAAAACATGGGACACAATTTCAGAGTAAACTGTAGATTGTAAAAAGTCTTGCTTCTGACTCTATTTTAAAAAGGGAAATTAAAGTTTGCAATCTCCCATATTTGATAATTTATAACTACACAGATTTTTTTTAACAAAGTAGCAAGCATAATTCTTTCAAAATGGCACAATAGCATAATCAATACTCTTTACTTCACGTTGGATTTCACAGCACAAAGAATCCTTCTGCTAATTGTGAGCACTTTCGTTTCAGAAACCTTGGTGTCTTAACTCTCGCTGATTTTGCTTTCCTTCAGTTAACTGGCCTGAGCTGCCAGACCCTAACTTGCCGGTGGCCTTGGCTGCATGAAACCCTCCATCTTCTGACAGATGTGCAATTTCTCTCTGCAATCCATTCATTTTGAGCTGAATTTGCACTGACTTATCCACAAAAATCAGCACAAGGCACACATCCATGTGTGTACCAACTCAGTAGTTAGGGTTAGATAATGGTGTTAGTGAAGAGAGATGTTGAAGGGAACTGACTTTTTCAGTGGTCAGTTCATTAGTAAAACCTTTCACACGATGACTTTTGCTTTCCCGCCTAAAGAAGCAAATACAAGTAAATATACCTTGTGGACTCAGGAACTGCCTGTTCCACAGCAGTCTTAAAGGTCATCACCAAAGTCTCCAAGACTTTGGAGTGAATGGGCCCCTGCAGCTTCATCCATGTGCTCCCACTTGTCATTTTACAGTCAGGGTAACCAAAACCCAGAGAGAAGGTGGGACTTGTCCAAGGACACACACCTTTCAAAGGGGCCATTTACTTAAGAACAAAACTTCAGAGTCAGAAGAGTTGGTTCTAATCCCAGTGATCACTCTTACTAGCTACAACCCATGGACCTGAATAATAACAGCAGAGCCCATATTAGCGGGGGTAGAGAGGAGAATGTAGGCAAAACCCTTAGCACAGTGAGAAGTGGCTGCTGTCACAGTGGCACCAGGATCCAGGTCTCCAACCAGAAGCCACCACGAGCTGAGCTCATGTCCAGTGATTGCAATGGGGCAGCAGCCATGCAAACAGCTTTATGGTGGGAGGCCACACATAACATTGTTATTCCAGCTTTGTCACTGTGTGACCTTGTTCCATTCATTTGCTCAGCAAATACGTATCTGGTACCTACTGGCAGGTACAATACTAGAGACTTAATGGTGAAACGAGACCCAGCCCCTACCCTCCGTTCTATACATGGACATCTGTGCTAATGATGGAGGAGACAGATGGTATTATAAGTAAGTAAAGACAGAAAGAGGCGCTTCTTGAAGGAGGGAAAGTATAAGCTGAGACCCAAAGGACAGGCACTGTATAGTCTAAAGCTGTCCAGTATGGTAGTCACTAGCCACAAGTGGCTACTAAGCACTTGAAATATGGCTAGTCTGAATTGTGCTATGTATGTACCAGATTTCAAGGAATTAAGTACAAAAAAGGGTACGCAAAGAAAAAAAAGTCTCAATTTTTATATTAAATACTCATTGAAGTGGTCATAATTTGACTGTTAATTTGAATGAAGTATATTATTGAAATTATTTTCAGTTTCTTTTCTTACCCTTTTTAATGTGGCTACTGGAAATTTTTATTTTTTCAATCTACTGGAAAATTGTAAATTGCACAGGAGGCTCACGTTACATGTTTATTGGACAGCACTGGTCTAGAGAGTCGACAAGGGAAGTGTTGTGGGAAGACAGCATTTTCAAAGGCCTGGAAGCAAGAAACAGCATGGCACACTCCTCCCTGGCCTCAGTCCCACCATCAATTCGAGAAGAGGGTAGTGGCTGCCTCGAAGGCCCCTTCTACCTCCCGTGTGGCGAGAATCTATAATAAGCCTGCTCCACGGCTTGGAAGCCACTGAAGGAGGCCGAAGCCTTCTGCCTTCCGCACAGGCAGGAGGAGCGCTGGCTCATGTGACTGGGGCTGGGGAGGGACTTCCTCTCCTTCCACGGGCAGCTGGAGCCCTCTGCTCCTGATCTCCCTTCTTTTTTTTTGTGGTATGTGCCCCTAGCGGAAACCGAACCCGGGACTCTCTGGTCCGCAGGCCAATGCTCAACCACTGAGCCAAACTGGCCAGGGCGTGATCTCCCTTCTTCCTAGTCCTGGCTCAGCACCTCCTCCGGGAAACAGGGCATTGGGAGGCAGGCTCCTACCTTCTGGGCTTCCTCATGCTTCTCAAAGTTGACAAAGCCAAAGCCTCGGGAGCGGCCGCTGTCGTCCCTCATCACCTTCACACTCAGCATCTTCCCTGGGAAGGACCAACCTGGCTCAAAGGGGACTCTGGGAAGCCCCAAGGTGTTCCCCTTTCCCTCCCACAATTCTCCAGGAAGCCCCGGGAGGGCTCCTCCTCCCAGCCTGAAAGTGACGCCAAACTCCCTTGAAAAACACACTCACCAAACTGGGAGAAGAGCTCCTCCAGCCCCTGCTCATCTATGTCCACTCGGAGGTTCTTCACGTAGATGTTGGTGAACTCCATGGCCCGAGCCCCCAGCTCAGCCTCCCGCTCCTGCCGGGACTTGAAGTGGCTAACGAAGCTGTGGACACACCAACAGGGTAGGCTGCCAGCCACCCTCATCTCAATTCCAGCCCATGCAGCAACCCCGGGTCATTGGGGCCAACTGCCACCAGCCTCTGGCCTCTGACTCCCTCATCAGAAGACTGGACAGGGCAATACTCTATAGATGGACTATATCCAAGGCCCAACCACATTCCACAGCCAAGATTCTATGTTCCATCATAAGGTTAGAAGACTTCATTCCTGTGGCACATGCACAGGGAAGTCCTACCAGACACCAGGCAGCGGAGTACACAGGAGATAAGAGCATGAACTTGGGAGTCACACTTGAATCCTCGCTCTGCAGTGGCCTAGCTGTGGGCCCCTGGGCAAGTTTCTTAACCTCTCCAAGTCTCAGTGTTCATTCCTGTAAAACTAGGGATCAAATTCACACTGCAAGTATTTGCTCATTCATTTACCACGTACTGGGTACCCTGGAGAAACTGGTGGGAGAATCAGACACAATCCATGCTAGTGTTGCTTTGGGGGCACTGAAGTCACTTAAACACAATATTAATTTTAAAAATTGTAATCTCCAAGTTTATGTCAACACATCTAGGGAAGTGTCATAGATTAAGAAAAACAACACAAAACAAAAAAACTGCCCTGGCAGGTGTGGCTCAGTTGGTTGAGCGTCATGTCAAGAGGTCGCCAGTTCAATTCCCTGTCAGGACACATGCCTGGGTTTCGCTCTCAATGCCCAGTAGGGGGCATACAGGAGGCAGCCAATCAAAGTTTCTTTCTCTCTTTTCCTTCCTCTCTCTCTAAAATCAATAAAAACATATTCTTTAAAAAGGAAAAGAGCCCTGGCTGGTTTGGCTCATAGGTTAGAGCACTGGCCCCGAGAACTGAAAGGTCACAGGTTTGATTCCTGGTCAAGGGCACGTACCTGGGTTGCAGGTTCGATCCCTGGCCCTTGTCAGGGTAGTGCAGGAGGCAACCAATCGATGTGTCTCTCTCACATTAATGTTTCTCTTTCTCTCTCTCCCTTCCTCCCTCCCTTCCACTCTTTAAAAATCAATGGAATGCTCTGGCCAGTTTTGCTCAGCGGTTAGAGTGTCGGCCTGCGGTCCAGAGAGACCCAGGTTCGGTTCCCACTAAGGGCACGTACCTCAGTTGCAGTTTGTCCCTGGCCCTGGTTGGGTTGTGTGGGTGGCAACCACTCGATGTGTCCCTTTCATATCAATGTTTCTCTCTCTCTCTCCCCCTCCCACTCTATCTGAACAAAAAAATGAAAAAATATCCTCAGGTGAGGGTAAAATAAATAAATAATAATAAAAAAATAAAAATCAATGGAAAAATATCCTTAGGTGAGAATTAACAACAACAACAAAAAGAATAAGAAAAACAACAACAACAACACAAAGCATAAGAAAATTTGATAGTATCTATAGCATGGTTAGCACAAAGTTATAGCTGGCACTAAAAACTGGAGAAAACTGAGTGGCCAAGGTAAACTTGGACAAATTGTAGCTAACAAAGATAATAACATGCTTCTGGGGAAAGCCCACCATCGTTCAATTTTGTTGACAGAAGCCTCCCCAGAGAAACCCTGCACAGAATGACTCTCAGTGAATCTCCCAGCTCAAAGTCTCCATCACTCCACAGTGACGAGCATGGGGCTGAGCCATCAGATGGGCAGAAGCAAAACTGGGGGAGGGGCACTGCCAAAGCAGTTTCTCTTCAGCACCTGCATCTCAGTTTTCCCATCTGTGAAGTGGGGATGATGCCAAATGGAAATGTATGAAGATGGCTGGCTAAGCATATGCCTACTTTCCCTCCCATCCAAAAATCCCATGAAACAACACAAAAGGCTTAAGAAAAAAATTCACAGGCATGCAGAGAAGGCTGGGTCCATTGATGTCTGGCCATTAGCTGTTCCTGCCAGAACTTCAGAATCATCACTTCATTTACTACTCAGAACGGTCCTCTGAGCATATCAGCAGTCCCATTTTTACTTGAGGAAAGGGAGTCCCTGAGAGATTGAGCCACTCTTCCAAGGTCACACTGCGAGGAAGAATACTGGCTGCTGCTCAGTGCCTGGTGCCCATTAGACGGTGGTGCCGAGATTCTGTTCCTTCAGCTTCGGCCCACCCTCCACGCCCCCACCACTCACACTTTTCGGTCATTTAGCAGCATCCCATTCATGATGCTGATGGCCTGCTGCGCAGCCTCATGGGTCTCGAAATGGACAAAGCCAAAGCCTCGGGAGCCGTGATCATCACACACCACCTGGGCCGCAGAGAAAAAGGACAAGGAGAGCATCCGACAGAGGACTCAGGTAGGACAGAATGGCAAGATGATGACAACGGATATCTGAGTGCTTGCTCTGGCCTGTGACAGACACTCCTACGTCACACAACAGCTCCATTTTAGAGACGGGAAACTACAGCTTGGAGGTGTCGATCCACTTGCTTAAGCTCACACATTAACGAGGGATCGAGTCCTCAAACTGAACACAGGTCCTCTATGCCACAGACACGTTTTTCATTATCTTCCTAAAGCGATGGGCAAGAGGATCAGATTCAAACCCCTATTCTTTTTTTTTTTTAATCCTCACCTGATGATATTTTTCTATTTATCTGCAGATAGAGTGGGAGGGAGATAGAGGGAGGGAGGAAGGGAGGGAGAGGGGGAGAGGGGGAGAGAGAGGAAGAGAGAGAGAGAGAGAGAGAGAGAGAGAGAGAGAGAAACATTGATGTGAGAGACACATCGACTGGTTGCCTCCTGCACGACCCCGACCAGGGCCAGGGACGGACTGCAACCGAAGTAAGTGCCCTTGGCCGGAATCAAACCCATGACTCATTGGTCTGCGGGGTGATGCTCTATTGCTGAGCCAGACCAGCCAGGGTCAAACTCCTATTTTAGAAACATCCTTGTTTCTAACAGCAAATTAGAAACAACTTGAGCATCCATCGAGAGGAGACTGGTTAAGTAAGTTACAGTACATTTGTACCTGTTGACTGTAGGTATGCAGCTGATGAGAACATGGTGATTCTGTGGCTGACAGAGTGATCTGGAGGGTATATCATTAATGGGGGGGGGGGGGCATCAAGCCCAGCTGGGTTAAAGTGGGCATCCACATGAGAAAATTTTAAGCAGAAACACACAAAACTTAACAATGATTATTTCTGGGGACTAGGGTTGAAAAGGATGGAACCTTCTTTTTCACTTTATTCCTTTCAACATTGTTTAAACTTTACCAATTCGCCCTGGCCAGTTTGGCAGTTAGTGTCGACCTGTGGACCAAACGGTTGCAGGTTTGATTCCTGGTCAGGGGCACGTACCTGGGTTGTAGGTTCAATCCCTGGCCCCAGTCAGGGTTGTGTGGGAGGCAATCAATTAATGTGTCTCTCTCACATCGATTTTCTCTCTCTCCTCCCCCCACTCCCCTGCCCTTCCTCCCTTCCATTCTATCTGAAAATCAACAGAAAAATATCCTCAGTTGGGGATTAACAACAAAAAATAAATAAAAATAAACTTGACCGCCCAGCTGGTGTGGCTCAGTGGTTGAGCGTTGATCCATGCACCAAGAGGTCGCCAGTTCAATTCCTGGTTAGTGCACATGCCCAGGTTGTAGACCAAATCCCCAGTGGGGGTCATATAGGAGGCAGCCAATCAATATTTTCTCTCATTGATTCTATCTTTCTCTCCCTCTCCCTTTCTCTCTAAAAGCAATAAAGGGGGGAAAAAAACAAAACAAACAAACAAACTTGACCAATTCATGTACTGTTTCAACAAAAGACTTGCTTTAATGCAAAGACCCCCATTTTGTAAGCTTCCTAACTCAAATTAGAAGGACAAAGCTCGAGAATGAGAAACATCTTCAGGCCACATAGTTCCCATCCCTCTGGTTGAACTTAGACAAAATCCACTAATGCCCATTTCAAGGTGACTGTGACTCCACCCACCCTGCAGTCAGTGCCCCAGGTCAGCTAAGGGGCGTTTTTCTGCCTAGATGACCACCCCGGCCTCCCGACCCAGCTTCCATGCTGACTACTGGGATGCTTTCTCTAAAATGGAATTGTGGCCCAGCTGGTGTGGCTCAGTGGATTGAGCACTGTCCCATGGACTGAGAGGTCCCAGTTCAATTCCCGGTCAGGGCACATGCCCGGGTTGTGGGGCTTGATCCCCAGTAGGGGTCATGTAGGAGGCAGCGATTGATGTTTCTCTCTCACATCGATGTCTCTATTTCTCTCTCCCTTCCTCTCTAAAAAAAAAAAAAAAAACATATTTAAAAATAAATAAATAAAATGGAATTGTGATGGTGTCCCATTGGGACCTCACCTACAGTAGCTCCTACTGTCCACAGAACTAGATCAACTTGGCATTTGAGGCTCTTCAATTGGCCCTGAACTAGTATTGCTTCCAAATCTAAACCCAACACACCCTCCTCCCCTCTCCAGCCCCAAACAGGGTCCCCCACTTTCAACTCAAGCCCCAACTTTTCTATTCAGATTCTATCATGTTGACTAGGTTCCTACTTTGGGCCTAGCACCTGTTAAGAGTATCGCTTACTTTACTTATCTTGTTATAGTTGCCATAAGACCCCTGTCAGACAATACTTTTTTTTATTGTTAATCTTCACTTGAGGATATTTTTCCATTGACTTTTAGATAGAATGGAGGGGGGTGGGCAGGAGGGGAGGGAGGGGGAAGAGAGAGACACACACACACACTCGCACATTGACTGTCTGCCTCCCGCACAACTCCGATAGGGGCTGGGGATCAAACCTGTAACCCCAGCATGTGCCCTTGACCAGGAATCAAACTCTTGACCCACTGGTTCGAGGGCTGATGCTCTAACCGCTGAGCCAAACTGGCCAGGGCCTTTCAGGCAATTCTTAACCTCTAAGCCCCATCTGATTGGGGAAAATGGGAATAAATATTTATTGAGCATCTACTATGTGTCACATCTTATTCTAGGTACTGGGATACAAAGATAAATAAAAACAAGATCACTACTCTTATGGAACTTCACTCTACTGTAACAGAAATCTTAAAAACAAGGTGTGGCCTGGCTAGTGTGGCTCAGTGCACTGAGCATGTCCCATGCACCAAGAGGTCATCAGTTTAATTTCTGGTCAGAGCACATGACCAGGTTTCAGGCTTAATCCCCAGTAGAGGGTGTGCAAGAGGCAGACGATTGGTGTTTCTATCTCTCTCTGTCCCTCTCCCTCTCTTTAAAGAATAAAATAAGCCCTGGACAGTTTGGCTCAACAATTAGAGCATCATCCCTTGGACCAAAGAGTTGCGGGTTCGATTTCTGTCAAGGGCACGTACCTGGGTTGCAGTTCAGTCCACAGTCTGGGTCGGGGTTGTGTGGGAGGCAACCAATCAATGTGTCTCTCTTACATTAATGTTTCTCTGTCTTTTTCTCTTTCTCTCTCTCTTTCCCTCCTTCCCTCCCTCTCACTCTGTCTGAAAATGGAAAAATATCCTTGAGTGATCATTAAAAATAAAATAAAATAATGAAAAAAAAAATCTTAAAAAAACCCACACACACAAACACACAAACACAAAAACCAAGGTGTGGCCATTCACTGCCACGATGGTCTCAATTAACGACCTTCCTATACCCACACCCTTTTTCCTATAATTTCTCCTGAATTGGGGCTGGTCTTGTGACTTGCTTTGGCAAACAGAATGCAGGGGAAGTGCCAGTTCTGAGTTTAGATCTCAGGAGGCCTGGTGAGCTTCCACCCCGTCTCCCGGGCCCTGCCATGGCCACAAGGCCAGCCTGGGCAGCCTGCTGAGGATGCAAGGCCACAGGGAGGAAGCTGAGACGTTCCTTCCGGCTGGCAGCTAATCACTGCCGAGAAGCAGAGCTGTCCAGCTTTCCGTGGGCACATGAAAGAGCCCAGCCGAGACCAGAAGACCTGCCCAGCTGAATTCAGCTCTAATGGCCGACTGCAGAAGTATGAGCGAAATGATGGTTGTTGACAGTGACGAAACTTTGGGACGGTTACGCAGCAAGAGTAGACTGAAGCACAGGTGGCCTCTGATACGTCTGGGAAGATGAAACTGAAAGAACCACTACTACTCAGGTGCTTGCTGAACCTGGAGCTTAACTGAAAAGACCTCATAGACTGTAAAGTGAGGTACTGCTAGGAATCCCTCTACCACACAGGCACTTGACCCAGACCCTCTCAAGAGGCACACCCACCTTGCAAGACAGGATGTTCCCAAAGGTGGAGAAGGTGTCGTATAAGGCCTTGTTATCAATGGACTCCTCCAGGTTCTTGATGAAGATGTTGCCCACACCCGACTTTCGAAGTCCTGGGTCTCGCTGGGACCACATGATTCGAATGGGCTGGCCTTTGATCACCTCAAAGTTCATTGTGTCCAGTGCCCGCTCCGCTGAACAGGAGGAGGGGAGAAAGGAGCAAGTTAAGGGGACTCTCTGGGTCTCACTGAAGATAAGAGCCTGCAGGCTCAGGAGGATCGGGAGAATTAAAGTGTGTGGCACTCCTCCTGCTTTTTACCATCTCATGCCTCTCCTCACTGTAGCCATGTGAGCACGGATTCCTACCCCTATTTTACAGATGGGGAAACTGAGGCTCAGGAAGGAGAAAGATCAGGGACTTCCAGGAAAGATGGCAGCATAGGTAACCACAGTCCTCACCTCCTCCCACAACCACATCAAAATTACAACTAAACTACAGAACAAACGGCCTTCAGAACGGCCTGAAATCGAGCTGAATGGAAGTCTCACAACTACGAATTAAAGAAGAAGCCACACCCTCACGGGTTTGGCTCAGGGGTTAGAGTGTCGGCCCTGGGACCAATGAGTTGTGGATTGGACTCCGGCCAAGGGCACGTACCTCGGTTGCAGCTCGTCCTTGGTCCTGGTCAGGGTCGGGTGGGAGGCAGCCATTTGACGTGTCTCTCTCACATAGATGTTTCTCCCCCCCGCCCCCCACCACCTCACACTCTATCTGAAGATAAATGGAAAAAATATCCTCTGGTGAGGGGGAGAAGAGGGAGGGGAGGGAGGGAGGGGAGGGAGGAAGGCAGCCATTCGATGTGTCTCTCTCACATCTATGTTTCTCTCTCCCCCACACACACACTATCTGAAGATAAATGGAAAAAACATCCTCTGGTGAGGGGAAGGAGAGGGAGGAGAGGGAGGGAGGAGAGGGAAGGAGGAGAGGGAAGGAGGAGAGGGGAGGAGGAGAGGGGAGGAGGAGAGGGGAGGAGGAGAGGGGAGGAGGAGAGGGGAGGAGGGAGGAAAGCCAGCCACACTGAGACTGGTAGGAGGGGTGAAGGGGTGAAGGGGTGAAGGGGTGAAGGGGTGAAGGGGTGGAGGGGTGAAGGGGCGGAGGGGTGAAGGGGCGGAGGGGTGAAGGGGCGGAGGGGTGAAGGGGCGGAGGGGTGAAGGGGCGGAGGGGTGAAGGGGCGGAGGGGTGAAGGGGCGGAGGCGGATGGGCTGGTCCCACACCCATGTGTGGTGGATAAAAATCAGGAGGGACACCTCGGCTGGGAATATCCTCCCTGAGGAATGAGGGGTCCTTGTCCCACACCAGGCCCCCAGCTCAAGGTTCCAGTGCCAGGAAAAGAAGTCCCCATAACTTCTGGCTGTAAAACCAGTGGGAAGTGAGGCTGAGGGAGGCTGACACTACTAGAGCCCCAGGCAGTTCCTCTTAAAGGGCCCTCACACGGACTTACTTGGACCTGCTCCCTCTGAGCTCCAGCGCAGAGGGGAGGCAGTTTGAAAGGTGCCAGAGACATACGGGAAAGATGAGTTGTCATCAGGGTGAGAGCTGGAGAGGCAGCTTTCTCCTGGACAAACGTGCTGGTAGGGGCCCTTGTCCTTTTGGTGAGCCCTTCCCCACGAGGTCAGCAGATGGCCACCATATCTAGGACTCCAGCAACCTGGCTTACATTGTTTGCCCTGCCCTGGTGATTCCTTGAGGCCTTGCCCCACCCAACTTCTGGGCCCACCCAAGTTGTTTCCAGTGGCTTTACCATAGGATTGTCTTGTTTGGGCTCCTGCTTCAGATTTTCCTAAATTCTCTCAAACAAGCAGCATCTGGCCACAGCAAGCCCCACACCTCTCGCTAAGTGGCCCCAGGCCTAGCACCTAGCACTAGAAGCAGCCATCTGCAGATCGCTTTGTAGCTTATGCCTGGTGGCCCCGGATAGACACAGGCAGTGGCTGACCCTGCCCCAGAGCCAGCACACTCAGTGGACAGCTTCAGACCACGGCGAAGGACCACCACCCAACCACCTCCACAAGAGACACACTCAAGGAATGGACTCAGTGGATACCAGAGCCCTGCTCTGTGTGGTGGGCCCCTGCACAGCTGATCATCCAAGGTAGTCAGAGGTCGGTGGTTAGGGGGCACAGCCTGTCCTTGCAGCTGATTAACCTGAGTAAAACCCTCCCATTGACATGCCATCAGCAATCAAGACTCAGTTACAACAGAAGGGTGCACTGTCCACATGAGGGGTGGACCTCGAGAGCTTAGCTGCGTGACCAGGGAGGCTGTGCCACTGGACCCTACAGGACACCTACAACAATAGGCCAACCTACGAAGCCTAGGAGACATAGCAACTCTACCTAATACATAGAAACAAACACAGGGAGGCAGCCAAAATAAGGAGACAAAGAAACAGGTCCCCAATAAAAGAACAGAACAAAACTCCAGGAAAAAACCTAAGCGAAATGGAGATAAGCAATCTAACAGATGCAGAGTTCAAAACACTGCTTATAAGGATGCTCAATAAACTTAGTAAGAATTTCAAGGAACTTTGTGAGGACCTCAAGAGCATAATAAAGGACCAGTCAGAAATGAAGGGTGCAGCCTGGCCAGTGTGGCTCAGTGATTCAGCGTTGACCCATGCACTAAGACATCACTGTTCGATTCCCGGTCAGGGTACCTGCCCAGCTTCTGTGCCAAATCCCCAGTGGAGGGCATGCAGGAGGTGGCCAATTGATGTTCTCTCTCATCAGTGTTTCTCTCTCTCCCCCTCTCCCTTCCTCTCTCTCTAAAAATCAATTTAAATATATATATATATAAAATGAAGGGTGTACTAACTGAAAAAGAATAATTCAATAGTAAGTAGAGTAGGTGAAGCCAAGAAGCAAACCATTGATTTGGAATACAAGGAAGCAAAAACACCTAATCAGAACAGCCAAAAAAAATCCAAAAAAACTGAGGATAGTATAAGGAGCCTGTGGGACAACTTCAAGCGTGCCAACATTTGCATCATGGGAGTGCCAGAAGGAGAGGAGAGAGCAAGAAACTGAAAACCTATTTGAAAAAGTAATGACAGAAAACTACCCTAATTTGGTGAAGGAAACAGACATACAAGTCCAGGAAGCACAGAGAGTTCCAATTAAGATGAACCCAAAGAGGTCCACACCAAGACACATCATCATCAAAATGCAAAAGGTTAAAGACAAAGAGAATAGCAACAAGAGAAAAGCAGCTAGTTACCTACAAGGAATCTCCCATAAGACTGTCAGCCAATTTCTCAAAAGAAACTTTGCAGGCCAGAAGGGAGTGGCAAGAAGTATTTAAAGTGATGAAAAGCAAGGACCTACAACCAAGATTACTCTATCCTGCAAAGCTATCATTTAGAATCGATGACCATATAAAGAGTTTCCCAGACAAGAAAAAGCTAAAGGAGTTCATCAACACCAAATCAGTATTATATGAAATGTTGATGGGTCTTCTTGAAGAAGATTTAAAAAAATACAAACAATAAAATGGCAATAAATACATATCTATCAACAATTGAATCTAAAACAAAATGAACAAGCAGAACAGAATCAGATTCATAGATACAGAGAACTTTTTGTTGGTTGCCAGATGGGAGGGGGTTGGGTGAAAAAGAAGATGGGATTAAGAAGTAGAAATTGGTTGTTAGACTGAGGAACCTCAAAGAGAATGGGGGAGGTGGGGCAGGTAGAGAGAAACCAAAGAACTATTATGCATTTATGCATAACCAATAGACACAGACAATGGTGTGGTGAAGGCAGGAGGGGGGTGGGAGTGGGAAGGAGGAGGTTAAGGTGGGGAGGGACATCTGTAATACATTCAACAATAAAGATATGTTAAAAAAAGAAAAGAAAAGAAAAAAAAGGAAGGAAGGAAGATCAGTGGCAGAGCCAGGTCTTCTGTGGTCTCTAAAGCACCGAGTAGATAAAACTGTGAAGGAGGGCCCCTATGACAAAAGGTGGTGGCAGTTTGAGGAAATTAAAGCTCAGAGTTGCTGAGCAGCAGAGCTGAGATTCGATCCCAAGTACTAGGGTTTTGGGGGAGGTGAACATCACCTCTCTGAGCCCGTTTCTTTCTGTAAAGTAGGGATGATGATGTTAACCACCCTTCCATACCTAACAAAGGGAAGTAATATCATCTACCTCCACCTTGTTGGACAGAGTGAAAAGTAAATAAGGTATGCAAGGTACCTTGTTCTTTGCACAAGGCACAAAACAGGAGGTTGGCGAGTGGCAGTGTGCCTAAAAGCAGCTATTCCCTCCTGCCACTGCTACTGCCTGTCCCCCCTCCCAGGTAATATGCTGTCCCCTGCTTCAAGGACTCCTCTCCTTTCAGAAGCGTGGACAGGAACTGTGCAGAACTCAGTGGAGCATGTTTCAAGAAGTCCGGTTTTTCCATTTAGTCCTGCCAGTGAACACCCAGGGGCAAAACCCTTTCTCTGGAGTTCAGCTTCCCCATCTATGAAGTCGGCCCCAGAGGTCAGGTTGCAGGGCTTGGAGGAAGATGGAAATGGCTGTGGGTGGGGAAAGCAGGGCAAAGGGGAAGTCCCCCTGGAATCCCGCTTAGTCACCCACTGGGAAACAGGCTGAACCACCCCAGCAAACCCCTAGTTCAGGGAACCTCCCCCCATCCACCCAGGAGATGCGGATAAGGGCGCCCTCTTTTGGACTTGGCCAATCAGGCCTTTTTTGGTTGTTTCTGGAGTCTTACACCTGAAGACTACAGCTACTATTATTTTTCTTAGGTTACCACTTACTGAGCCTTTACATATACTGGAGATACGTCACAGCCACAGTTCTCCTTCCATGCTATTGGGGAATAAGCCTTGGCCCACATTTTAAGATGAAGTGCCGAGTAAACTCTTGCTCAAGCTCACACCCTAGTGGCAGAGCTCCAGCAAAACGCGGTACCCTTAATTTTATTTATTTATTTTTATTTTCACCCGAGGACATTTTTCCATTTTTGGTTCAGATAGAGTGGGAGGGAGAGAGAGAGAGAAACATTGACGTGAAAGGGACACATCGAGTGGCTGCCTCCCGCATGACGCAACCAGGGCCAGGGACAAACTGCAACCGCGGTACATACCCTGAGCGGGAACGGAACCCGGGTCTCTCTGGACCGCAGGCCGAAGCTCTAACCGCTGAGCCAAACCCTTAATCTTTAAACTCGCCTCTTTCAACAGGTGTGGACATAGCCACCTGGCAAGCTCTAATCAGTCCTATCAGCTCTGAGATAGGGGTTGTGGAGTCTAACGTGGAAGCGGCTCTTCAGGGTTCGCCAAGGGGGAGTCGCCTGGTGCAGACCTCATGTCACGCTGTCGGGAGAGGCCGAGCCCCAGGCCCAGCTCTCCTGCCTTCCCCACTCATCACCTGTGTCGCCTCCCACACCGTCCTCACCAGGTGCTTTGAATTTTCTCCTCCCAGCCACTCTATCAAGCAGGTCTGATCCCCATTTTTCAGACTGGCAACTGAAGCTCAGAGTGGTTGAGTAATTTGCTTAAAACCACACAGCTGCTGGCTAATTTTAGGTCGGCCTGACCCCAAAGCCCTTGGTTGTTTCCACTCAGCCTTAATATCTCCCCTTCCCAAAACGGAGCGCCAGTAAACCACACAGTAGACGCACACTAATTGTTAATTCCTGTCTCGGGGGAAGGTGGGGGGCGCCTCTCTGGGCCTCCGTTTCCCTGGCTGCAAAATTGAAGATGCAGGAGCAGAGATGAAAGAGCGGGTGGCGGAAATGCTATCGGTCCAACCGTGCCCCGGTCCGCCTGTCCCTCGCCCCGGGGCTCACCGTCGGCCGGCTGCTGGAAGTTGACGTAGGCATAGCCCAGCGAGCGGCGGGTGGCCACGTCGCGGCACACGCGGATGGACAGGATGGGCCCGGTGGGCGAGAACTTCTCGTACAGCATAGCCTCGGTCACGTCGGGGTGCAGGTCGCCCACGTAGAGCGAGGCGAGCGGGAAGCCCCGGCCGCTGGCGTTCATGGTGGGCGGCGGGGGAACCGAGGAGCCGGACAGCGCGGCCCCGCGCTCGACGCCGGTGTGCGTCCCCCGGGCAGGAGCCTCGGCGGTGGCGGGCGCGCAGGGGCAAGGGACTCTCACTCCCGGGGCGCGGCGCCCCTCCCTTTACCATCCCGCCACGCCCCCCGCGCCAATCGCCGGCGCTCGGGCCCCTCCCCTCTTAGCTGCTCACCTGGGACCCCTCGACGTTCTAGAAGCCTCAGGTGGGCAGCATCTCTGGCGCCGCCTCTGGAGGCAGGAGAGCCCTCACCTGGCCCGGGGTGGGGCCGCGGAGACGCGGAGGAGCTGAGCCCTCTGGGAGGGCCTAAGGCCTGGGTTCTAATCCCCATGCCATTTCCTTTCTGGGCCTGCTTCCCTCCTCCGTGAACTCCATCTTCGCAAGGACTCAAGACCACACACTTTCTCTGCCTTACGAACGATAATTCCGAGCCAGATGCTTGGCTGGTTTCAAAGGGACCTATCCACCTGAAATAGTCTTTTTCTCAAGACAGCCCAGATTTAGTCCCACCCTTCTGGAACCGGCTTTGTGACTTGACTGAATGCTCCGTGTGATTTCGAGACCACTAAGGCCATCTTTGACATTGACTCTTATGTTGCCAAAGACTTTTTCCTGGGCTATCTCCCTGCCCATCTCTTTCTCATAAAAAATCCACTCCACTTGCACACCACCAGGTTCACCAAATCCCTTGTAATTCAGCCTCTATGGGAACAGTGAGGACCTGATAGGTCAGGGCGGCGGTCCCAAGCTGAACAGCAAGACCTCTTTATCAATTTTAAGTGTGCAGTTTCAATCTGTGGGATGGGGTCATTTCTGAATTCCAAATCCACTGTGGGACAGCACTTCACCTGGCCTCTGAGAGGCTCCTGATTTCCCTGCTGCAACAAAGCAGGACTGTTCCCGCTAACCTTTGGTTGGGTGTGACTTTGACAGGTGAAACAGCTCCAGAAGCAGGGGCAGGAGTCTGTCTGGCTGCCCAGCCTACAGTAGTAAGCAAGCACCAACCAATTCTACTCTTGGGCTCAAAAATACCCCCCACCCAGATGTCTTTTCTTGCCTTGCGGGAAATCCCATGAGGAAACAGTGCCGCAGGATACCACAGTGTTGGGACAGATGAGACTGGTATTACTTTGGAGATGACCAGGCCTCATGTAGCCATCTCTTGATTACATCTTGGTGTCTTGGTTACATCTCAGGGTTTTAAAAAGGAGGAAGGGCTTTAACAGACCTGACACCCAGGTTGGTGGAAGGTGGATAGGTTTTATTTTATCCTCACCTGAGGACGTTTTTGCATTTATCTTCAGATAGAGTGGGAGGGAGAGAGAAACACTGATGTGAGAGATACGTAGACGGGCTGCCACCCACACGACCCCGAGGCCGGGGACAAACTTCAACCGAGGTACCTGCCCTTAGCGGGAACCAAACCTGGGTCTCTCTGGTCCGTGGGCCGATGCTCTAACTGCTGAGCCAAACTGGCCTGGGCGGATAGGTTTTTTAATGGTAATTTCTTTCCCTTGACAACACCTTGACTTCCGGTTCTAAAGGACGACATAAAGCTGTTGCCTACTTTTAAAGAAAAGAGTAGAGCCCAAAAAGTGTGATAAAAAAAAGTTTGCTAACTCTAGTAGTGATAGAGATGGTGCCACACATCAATTCACAGGCAACTAACTGATAAAATTTTTTTATTTCACTTTTGAATTTTTACACGTTTCCTGATTATTCCGTGTAAGGTGGAAACTAGAACTGTTTAAAAGACATACACAAATCTAGTACATCAATAACCGGGGATTTTTCTTTTTTGCTATACTATTTTCACAACCACAGGTGTGCTTGCTAGGCAGTATAACCATCACAGAAGCAAACGTGAGGCAGAATACTGGTAAGGAAAAACAAAGCAAGGAGGAGCTACCAGATATACAGACAGGCTCGTTCCACGTTCACTACTGCATTTTCAAGCGCCAAGTATTTAACTGCACATTTTTGTTCAGCTAGAAAGGAGGGATTTTTTTTTTCCTTTTTTGGTTTGTTTTCATCAGTGCATGAATGTTTTTCTCATTTCAGCAGATGGACAAACAGATGGACACTACAGCTATGTGGAATGTTAACGAGGGGGTATGATACTGTGAGACTGGTAGGCCCGGGTATTCTGGATTCTCCCCATTGTGGTGTTCATGCAACTTCTCTGCATTATAGGGTCTTGTTTAAACATGCCTGTGAACTTGCCTGGATGAGGACAGTTGGGAGATCTGGTGACAGGTACTAACAAGCATTATCAGGGCTGACTGTAATACAGGGAGAAGTTGTGGATATTTGCAAATACTTTTTTGATTCAGATCTTGGTGTGACGGAAGAGCAACGACTGTGCTGCGAACTGGAGGGAGACAGGGCTACGGTGCTGGAAGCTCTTCTGGACTCTGAAACAAGGCCTGCTCACCAAAGTGCTCACCAATTCCACTCCTCACCCCTCCAGGCCCTATCCCTGCCCACGTAGTATTAAACTGTGAACAAAAGATAAAAAGACAAATAAAGATAGACTTCAAAAAGAAAAGAAAAGGAAGGAAACTGAAGGACAGAAATTGAAAGAGGGAAGAGAAAAAAGTCAACAGTTAAAAGGACAGTGGGAAAGAATGTTTAAATTTTAAAACTTAAAAGCCCCGAGCTAGGAAGAACCAAAGACAGAGTCCTCCTCATGTGAAAGGCAATCTCTGCCGAACATTATTCTTAAAGGTACTACCCAGGACACAGACACGGCCATTCATAAAATACAGGCGTTCTCTCTTCTTTAGTTCCCGGTTACAAGGAAAATAGATTCCACAACTGAAGCACGAGTCATAAATCCGTGACATTGTTATAGGACAGGAGTTTTAGTCACATGTGTTGTATGAGCACTGGACTTTCTCATGGTGTCATAACCCAGTTATCTGCCACAAAGAATTTCAACTTTAGGCTTTGAGTTTCCTCAGAGGAAGACACTGGACATCTGCGGTCATGAGCTTTTGAGTGGCAAGAGCCCCAACTGGTCAAGTGTCTATAAGCCCTGAACAACAGGCAGAATTACTGTGAATTGCCATCAAACTCAAATGTGAAATGACAGGTGTCTCACTCCAAGTTCCAGCATCACAATATAATCTCTATAACTTTCTGTACAACTTTACAATGGAGCTGTATTTCAGTGACTGTTTTGATATCAGATTAAACTTTCCCAAAAGTTAGATTAAGTCAGGTCTATTTTTTCTACCAGTAAGAGTTCTGCTTAGTTACAAAACCCCATAATCACAGTGTTCAGTTTTTTAAAAAATTAAACACACAGTAATCCTGTCAATGTTAAAAATCAAAACTTCAGAATGCCATGGCATTTATGTGACCAATCAGAGTTTAAGATACAAATACCAGCTGTTTATCCCATGAACCATTTTTGCTAGGCTGAGGCTGTGAAAAATCGAAAAGTCGACGTACGATTCTTTTTTTCTTTTTTTTTTTTTTATCGCACAAAGAGATATATGTGGAGGGTACAGAGTGACACTGGACAGATCACGGAGCACGATAGACATTAGTTCTCTCCCTCCCCAGCATCTCCTTCATCTCCCTGGTTTTCTGACGTCCACAGCTGCAAGAGAAAAACAAAGCCATAATCAAAGTAGGGCTACTAAAATTTACCCGGGGCAGTTTCCCAGTCTGGATATCTTATCTCTCTTGACCGTTTAAAATTCTTCCTGTATGAGTGCCAGCAGTGATGACTGCAAAGGTCAAAACTTTAGCACTCATTTAACACTTACATTTAACTAATTTAACACTTTAACCCTCCAAAAGCAGTCACTGAAATCAGAAGTACTTACAGTGAGATTGTCCCTAAGCAACTGCATGATCAGCGTGCTGTCTTTATATGACTCTTCATTCAGTGTATCCAATTCAGCAATTGCTTCATCAAATGCCTACAACAAAGAACCTTTAGCAAATAAGTCACAGGTTCTCCAGAGCACATTTTGCCAATTTTTTTCTGCTAACAAGTGAATATTTCTCCTATCTAATACTCTGGGGGAACCTAGGTCATTATTATCTTGTCTTCCAGTTGTTTCAGCAAACATAATGCATGCTTATAAAGCACCAACCAACAATGACAAAAATTCCTAGGTAAGAAACTTGACTGTACCTAATAAATCAACAGCATTCATTCTAGGCAAATTCACGTTAATTTTTAAAAGTAATTTCTAGTAATCCTTGAAAATCAACAACAGCCCGGCGGGTATGGCTCAGTGGTTGAGTGTTGACCCCATGCACTAAGAGGTCGCCGGTTCGATTCCCAGTCAAGGCACATGCTCAGGTTGTAGGCCTGATCCCCAGTAAGGGGCGTGCAGGAGGTGGTCAATCAATGTTCTCTCTCATATATGTTTCTATATTTCTCTCTCCCTTCTTCTCTCTCTAATATCAATAAAGAAAAACAACAACAAACTACAACTCAAAAGGTCTAGATACAAGTAATAAAAGGGAGAACAGAAATTCACACCATTAAATCTGATTTGACTAAGTAATGGAGCTTGAAGAATTAATTTCACATACATTTTCAAAATTTAAAAAAAATTAAAATAACACTGTACATGGTGAATAACTACAAAAATACGTAGAAAAGGCAGCTGGGTTACCAAAAGAAGATTAGGAGGTAACCCAGTGCACATACAAAAACATGGTCCTATTTCTTGCATTTCCACGGCCATAACTTCAAATCCTAGTGCAAGGACTATAATAAATATACAACAGAGGACTACAGCCCAAAGTTTGACAAGAAACAAACTACTTTAATCTGAATTTTCCACAACCACCCCCGAAAAATAGTAATCAAACAACAAAAACAAAACAAAAATTAGCAGGTGTTAAGAACCCAAAAAGTAGGTCTGAATATGTTTCATAAAAGATATACACCTATCCCCTAGAAAAGTCTTCAATTAAGTCCAAGACAATGAGTTATAGTCATGGTAATAAGTTACCAAGAAGCACAATGCTGTTCTACTGTGATCAGAAACCACAGAGGGCCTTTCTCACCGTTTTTGCCAGGCTGCAAGCCTTTTCCGGAGAGTTCAGAATCTCGTAGTAAAAGACTGAGAAGTTCAGTGCCAGGCCAAGTCTAATGGGGTGTGTAGGCTGCATTTCTTTCTTACTAATTTCAAATGCTTCCTGGTAAGCCTGCTGAGAGTTTGACACAGTGGCTAAAAGAAAGATACGAAACATTAAAGGCTGGGTTCTTTCATAGGCGACATCATACACTGGACTATGATCATATTATTTTACCAAACTGGGCTATCATTAAATGACCTATCAAATGAGGGGTCAGTGTCTCCACCATTTGATTAACAATCATTTGCTAAATGTTTGTTCTAAGCCAAGTACTACATTAAACGCTTTGGGAGAAAACAAAGACAATTAAGACAAAGTTCACTAAAGCACTTAAGAAATACAGAAATAACCTTTAACAACAGAACATAAAAAACAATATGCTCTAGTGGAAAGGTCATAGACTTTAGACCCAAACGCGAATGACCCAACTCTTACTCACTAGGTGTGTGGCTTGAAGTGAAAACCTCCGTAGTCTAGGTTTCTTTATCAGAAAAATGAACAGACTTCCATGTAAACTCCCAAGGTTATGTAAGAAATAAATGAAACTCTACAATACTTGGCACATAGTAGGCACTTAATAAAACACAGCTATAGCCCAGCCAGTGTGGCTCAGTGGTTGAGCGTAGACCCATGCACCAAGAGGTTGCCGGTTCGATTCCCAGTCAGGGCACGTGCCCAGGTTGTGGGCCCAATTCCCAGTGGGGGGCATGCAGGAGGTGGCCAATCGATGTTCTCTCTCAACAATGTTTCTCTCTCTCCCCCTTCCTCTCTAAAATCAATAAAGGAAGAAAAAAACTAAAAAACAAAAAAATACACAGCTATAATTATCACCATCACAGTAATAACATGTATGTGATCAAAGAAATGTATCACTACTTATATGATGGCTTCATGCTATTAAACTTTTTAATGTTGTACCTCCAAAAAGAGAGCTAGTAAATAATCCTCAAGATAAAATTCTCTAAAAGCACTGCTGCACCAGACTTTTAATGCCCTCCCCCATCTTTCCCTTAGGTACATTTTGATCTGTCAATCCCTGTGACCCCGTTTATCATAGGTCAGCACAATGCTATGGTCTTTCAAATTCTGAGTACTGTGATGTTAGTGTCTATGGTGAAGAGACAAAGCAAAAACTGCTAAAATTATGAAGGAAGACTGGCTCCACTACTGGTCAAATTTCTTTCTTTAATAAAATGTTACTTACTTTGCTTATTGTCTCCAGATGCCACCTCAGAAAGATATCTAAAATAATCTCCTTTCATTTTCAAGTAGAACACCTTACTTTCTGGTTGTGTAGCATTGGGAATAAGATATTTGTCCAACAGCTCCTAAAAAATGATTCATATTTTGTTAAGAATCTGGAAATATTATTTACAAGATGTTACAACTATGCCTGAGATTCATAATACTACCACTTCTAAATAATTTTTGTGAAGATTTGAAAAAATATTTTCATCCAAAGCTTTTAAAGGTTTTTAGTAGATGTCTGTTTTCGTCTGTTAAAAATCACTGCGACCATCCATAAGGGGTTGATAAAAGTAGAGCCATACAATGAAATGTTATGCAGGCCTTTAAAGTGACAATGCAGAACTACACTAATATAAAAAGGTTCTTAAAAGAAGTCTGGGTGGAGGGGGAGAGATTATAAATACATGAATCCTATTTTTATACTAAAATTCATACGTGTACATGCACAAAAATATGTATAGAAAAAGTCTGAAAGTATATTTTTCAATGTTAATAATGGTTCCCTAAGTGACAGGAACTATCCGTATGACCCTGGACAAATGACCTATCCTGAGCCTCAGTTTCCTCTGCTCTCCAATAGGAAGCACAACAGCCATCTTCTAGGGTAGGTATGAGAAAGAGCTAATGTACATAAAGTGCTTAACACGTTGCCTGGCACATAGTAAGCACTCAAAAGGTAGCTACTACTATTATTAATAACAAATTCCTTTAAACATTTATGCTTACAACAAAAGCAGTTCTGAAGGAGTCCAAGCTTCGTAAACAGAGCAATATTTTCGAAGAGTTGTTTTAGAATGTGGCATCCTGAAAAACTGGTTAAGAGGCAGTAAGTACCATGCGTTCTTCACATTCTTTCAGATGCTCTTAAAAGCTGGTCTACATTTTCAGGAATTACGGAACTTTCTTGCCCTTGGAATACATGCCATACTTCATCTGAATATCAGATGTACCTAACATTCAGGAATTAGTGCACCATTAACAAACCCCCAAATTACCAACAGGCAACAAATTTAGTCATGACATTCTTACACTATGAGTCTAACAAATAGAGCAGCTCAATGCAAAAGTTTAGTCATAGGGGATTTAATCAATCAAAGTGATCTTGAAGATGCAAAGGGCAGTAGTCATTTTAATGTTCTTTGCAGACAGACAGAGTGTAATTCCTTATGGGTTAGGGATGATGAGAACTGCCTGATGGCTGGCAAGCTCTGTACAGGTTTTCAAAAGAAAGGTGTCATGGGCAGTAACTCGGAGAGGCAGCCAGCAGGGGAGGAGGTAGATCCACAAGTGTGAATTCCTTTTCCCTTCAAAGCAGCCCTCACTGTTCATTTTTACCTGATTTCACCTGGAAGAAAAAGAAAGTTCCCAGTGGGCTCAGGATGTGAGGGAAAGACAATATGATCATGATTGCTCTAGGATATGCACCCCTCCCATCCAACCCCAGATGATGGTCCGAGTGAAAGCAGTTAGGAATCAATCATCTGACCAAGGCTTATATAGAACACGGGAGAGGAGAATTCCCAAACCACTGTTGATTTGGCTTTGGAACGCAGGCCCAAACTGACTCGACATGGCACGGCTAACTTTTGGTCAAAAACAGGACTTTACACTGGGCAGGCATGACTGGGGAGAGGCTGAAAGGCAGCTCAACCTGTTGCTCCTAATATACAGAATAGCCTATCTGTAGCTGCATCTACCTATAATCCTGCCTATCTGGACTCAATTTCTAAAGAAAAGATGGAGGGATGTTAACTAAATGTTCCTGTTTTTCACAGGTCTTTTTGAAGGGAGAGGAAAAGTCCCCATAAGTGATCAGCAACCTCTGCTCAAATAGGTGGTGAGGAAAATCACATCATATGCTTAAAAATTAGCTGCAAATGGTGTGCAGCTTTCCAGCACATTCAGACAACTTTGTCTCATAGCTGTTTGCGAGTTTGCATTTGTACATCAAATGAATACAATTTACAAACCACTGTTGGAAACAGAAACACTGGCCTTACCAGAACATCATTGCAGATGTCCTGCAGTTCTGCCTCTATCTTCTCCCGGTACTCTTTGCCCATCTGCTGCTTCTTCTCGTTCCTCTCTGTTTTCTGTTCAATGCTGGAGATGACACGCCAGGAAGAACGGCGGGCGCCCACCACATTCTTGTAGGCAACAGAAAGCAGATTTCTCTCTTCATTGGAGAGTTCGTGCCCTTGTTCCGTGACAGCCTTCATGGCTGCAGCCATGTCATCATAGCGCTCAGCCTGCTCGGCGAGTTTGGCCTTCTGTACCAGCTCACTTTTATCCATGGTCATTCCCTAGAATGAGACCAAGAGAAAAAGAAAGAGAAAGCACATGTCAGACTTCAGGGCCCAGGAAATGCATGTGTGAATCTTCTTCTAACTCATCTGAAAAGAATCATACCTACATGTGAAACGTCGACTTCCAGAGGCCCTCAACAATACTGACCAGAAGCACCTATCAGCTTAGGTACTTTGCTAAGGTCTTTTTAGTACTTTGGTAAATTCATTTTCCCAACTCTTCTATAGGGTAGATATGTTCACAACAGCCCCTTCCTCCTTCTTTGAGGTGAATAGAAATAGAGGTTCAGAGAAAGCAACACTGCTTGGAGACAACAGAGGGCCAGAACTCAAATTCAAGACTCTGTCTCTAGAGCGTCTGTTTTCTTCCCCTTTCCTAATCTGCCTCCTCAACACATAGAGCCAGTTAATAACCATTTCTTTGGAAACTTATGCTAAATGTATGTTTACTTTGTTCAAGAATTATCTGGTTTTGACCAAATCTGCCCCCCCCCCCCCCCAGTATAGGAAAAAACATGTTAAGTGTGATGATTGCTTCAATCTCCAATTTTAAGAGTATCTTCTGCAACTTGCTAAATTTGTTACAAGAACACACGGTAGCAAAGTCAAGGGCAGGCAGATTTGGCTCTATCCAGCACCAAAAAATGGTGTGAGACCTTGCCCTGGCAGGTGTGGCTCAGCTGACTGACCATTATACCGTGCACTGAAATGTCACCAGTTCGATTCCCTGTCAAGGCACATACCCAGGTTGCGGGTTTGATCCCCAGTCAGGGTGCGTGCAGGAGGCAACCCATTAATGTTTTTCTCTCTCTCTCAAAAAATTAAAAACCTATTTAAAACAAACAAAAAAAGTGGTATGATCTTGGTCAAATCACTTAACCTCTGAGCTTCAGTTTCCTTAGTGGAGAACAAGAAAACTACCAACTCTCCACAGGTTGTTGTGAGGGAAAAATGACCTAATAATCCATGTGAAGGCGCTTTGGAAAGTTCACAGCACTATATACAGACATCAGGCAGTAGTTCTGCACATGCTATAGGATGCAAGAGATATGAGTGTATTCAACAATATGCACAGCAACAGAGCTTCAGACAATAACTGAGTCCATTTAAAAGTTTTTCTGAAATAGACAAAAATTTTAGTGGCTTCAATTTATCATTTTATCAAATCCTTTATACAACAATCAATGAATACCTCTTAAATTATTCACCTCACCTTTGTTAATTCTCCACTATAATAATCACCATTTACAGAGAATACAGTAAGTTTTGGATGACATGTAGCTAAAAAACTATTTATTAACCAATACAAAGTTTTATGTACTGATGGTTTAAATTTCAATATATTCATCTATGCCAGTATAAAAATACACTAACATCCTAAAGGATAAAATAAGATACTGTTTTAAACAGTAGTAGGAATATCTATATCTATATCTATATTTTTTGAATCCTCACCTGAGGATATTTTCCCACTTATCTTCAGATAGAGTAGGAGGGAGGGAGGGAGAGGGGGAGAGAGAGAGAGAGAAACACTGACCAACTGGTTGCCTTCCACACGACCCAACACGGGCCAGGGACCAAACCACAACTGAGGTACCTGCCCTTGACCAGAATCAAACCTGCTACTCTTTGGTCCGTGGGCTGATGCGCTAAGTGCTGAGCCAAACCAGCCAGGGCGGAATATATCAGTATTTTTAAAACAAATTCTTTCATTACTATATACATGGTATAACAATTTAAGACTCTGAAAATGGTTAATAGTTTTAAAATAGCAAAGGAAGTATAACCCTATTCACAAAATAGTTTTGCCTCAAAAGTCATTTCTGTATTTTCAAGGAAGAAATTCTATAGATGGCCCCCTACCACCTAAAAATATTTTGAGATGGAGCACAATAAGATACATCCCAAACCTAGACAATTCAGAAAGAGTGGGTTTTCTAGTTCAGAACTATATTTCTTCTGCTTAATATCTAAATCAAATTCAGAGTTGTGTTTTATATAAGGCCTGCTAATTCTAAGTTTACACTCAGTGAAAAAAAAAAAATCTCACCTTGATTTATTTGACATCTTCACCCACATCACTAAAATGAGACTATATGAGAGATAATAATCCTCACAAAATATTCCATTTGCTTTCCTACATTTCCCGGCAATCCCCTGCACATAGAAGGGGGGTCACATGGTTAGTTCTGTCCAATGAAACATAACCAGAAATGATGCTACTTCCAGCTTGAAACTGCTAAAAGCCTATGTGTGGTTCACCAGGCTTTCTTCTTACAGTAGCCATTTAGAAGGCCATGCATTCTAGATGATGCTGTCACAAAATAGTGCAGTTTCTGTAAGCTGAGTCTGTGAGGTGAAGGAATTCCTGTGGACATGCAATGTGAAAGAGAAAGAGACTTTTGTTGAGTTAAGCCATTGAGACAGTGGGGCTGTTTGTTACCACAATATAACCCAGTCTACTCTAATATAAGCACATCAAAAAAATATACCACTCGAGGGGAGGAATGGGGGACATCTGTAATACTGTCAATAATAAATAAATATGTGGTATGCACACACACTATCATCTTAAATTTATATACTTTCTCACTATGTCTAAATTTCTTGACCATAAAGTCTTTGAGATCAGGACACTCTCTCCATCCTTCAACAACCCTATTTTATTGTTCCTAAAAGAGAAGCAGAAAGAAGCCAACTTTCAATGAACCTTAGAAATTTCCCAGTCTGCAGACTAATACCAAGGCAGCAGTCACTCAGTGTTCCACTCCAAAGTTCACAAAACAGCACCTGTGCAATTCCACATGGGAAAGAATCCAATTAATAAAGTACTGGCCAAAAGCCAATTCAGAGCTGAGCCATCCCATGCAATATTATAAAAGAGAAATAGAGAAATACAAAGGATCAAACCTGCTAAAGGTTGCCTGGAAAAATCTCTGGTCCTACTAGATCCCCCAATTAAGATGCACACCTCCTCTCCCCTTCCCAAGCATTAAAAGTTAAATCATATCTCTCTGAAGAATCCGGACTACTCTTTGGTCCCTCCCAAATGTACACACCCTATTTCTCAAAATAAAATGTGATCTTTCTGGTTGGGGGCCAACTATTTCAAGCTTCTTTGGGATCACTGCAAGAGCTCTTGGAGATTGAGAACCTATCATGATATGGAAAGATTAAACATATGCCTTAAACAAAGTATGCAACTGCTTAAAAAATGTAAATTACACACACAAAAACAACTTACAACAAGCAAAAGCCATAGCTAAATGCCTTGATGCCTGTTGCTTACGTAACTTTTGACTTATATAACGTGGATTCTGAAGAAGCTAGACCAATTTCAACAGGAAATGGGTTACACAACACCCAGCAGTTAGGAGGAAGGCAGCAGGCAACAGAGAACTGTTTAAATTGTTCCTGTGTCTACAGCTATAATAAACCTCCCATGTACAATCTTTCCCTAGTCCCGTTGCTTTCAGTTTCTTGTTACCTTTAGCTCTCTTCATGTTCTTTGCTGCCAGACCCATTCTTTTTTTTTTATCCTCACCCGAGGACATTTTTCCATTTTTTATTCAGATAGAGTAGGAGAGAGAAAGAGGAAGAGAGAGAGAGAGGTGAAAGGGACACATCGAGTGGCTGCCACCCGCACGACCAACCAGGGCCTGGGACAAACTGCAACTGAACCCGGGTCTCTCCAGACCACAGGCCATCGCTCTAACCGCTGAGCCAAACTGGCCAGGGCAGACCCATTAACACTGATTGTCACTTCTTGTTCAAATTCCTTTAAAGTCCCCTTCTGCCAATAGTAGAGTCTGATTCTCTTCCACCAGGTGAAGGCTTTCCAGCCTATCTTCTCCAGACTTTTCCCAAAACATGCCATCCACACAATACGTGCTTCTGTCAAAATGGTTTTCTTACAAAGTATGCTTTTCTGTCTTTGCTCACCAAGCCACTCCTCTACCTGGAATGTCCTTTCCCACCTACTCTGCATACAAAATTATTTCCGAGCCTGGCTCAACTGTCATCTCCTCCATGAAGCCTTCCGATAAGCTGCTCCGCTTGAGCTGTCTAGTATGACAGCCACTAGCCATACGTGCCTAGTGCCACATGATATGGAGTTAAATTTTTAAAAAGTATTAAAATTAATTTCACTGGTTTCTTTTTACTTTTTAAATGTTACTATCAGAAAACTTTAAATTACATGTGGCTCACATTGTATTTCTATTGGACAGTACTACTCTAAACTGAAAATATTTTCACAAAGCATTTCATGTATACCTCTCTTAATGTCTTATCACATTTCTTCAGTACTAAAACTATTTGTGTGTGTCCCTTAAGTCCCTTACAACACCATAAACTCCTTGAAGGCATATCTCCCACAGCACCTTGCATGCAATTGGTATGAACAAAAATATCTGCTGAATGAATGAACAGATCCCCAAATGAAAGAATAGCAAAACTGCAACTTTGGTAGAATTCTCACTCTTCTCAAATAATTCAAAGCACCTATTCTTCCTAAACATATTAAGTCCTCATTATACTGGTACCTTATTCCTTGTACTTCTGGTAGCCTACTTCAAAATTACTTAATCATGCCTCTACCCTTACTCAATAACTTTCAATGACACTCTTTTGGCTACTCCATCAAATCTAAACTCTACCTGGCTTTCCAAGTCCTTCATAAGTTGGCTCCTCCAGACCCGTTAGACTTTCTCACCCACTATTCTCCAACATGTACCTTTCTCCCAGGCTGAACATCACTGAATACTCTATAAATGCCACGCTCAAACATGCCCAAGATTGCTTCTGTATAGTAGTCTTCCCTTGTCTGTGGTTTCGTTTTCCAGTTTCAGTTACCATCACTCAACTGCAGTCTGAAAATATTAAAATATTAAACTGCGAGCCATTCTGAGTAGCGTGATGAAATCTCACATCGTCTGGGTCTGTCCCACCCAGGATGTGAATCATCCCTTTGTTCCAAGTATCCACAATGTAGCTGC